TGAGTCCTCTCTTCCTGCGCTTGCCGACCCTGAGTCAGACTCTCTTCGCGCTGCCAGTCCTACTGTCACGCGTCTGCTTGCTACTGTCGTCACTGACCCCTCTTTTGAGTCCACTGCTGCGTCTGCTCTAGTCGCTGAGCTCGTTGACTTTGCTGCTCGCTGTCGTCTCGACTACGCTGCTGGTCTTGTTGCTGAGTCTGCGTCTGTCTGTCCTCCGTCCGTCGGGGGTGAGTGTGCTCTTGGCACGGACGTCCTAGAGGACAGGCAGGAGGAGTTACAGTGTCTAGCGGCTGCTTCACCTCATCTCGCGTCTGTACTACTTGCCCCTGAGGGAGACCCGGATGCATTAGACATCCCGACTCCGCGTTCTTACGCGGAGGCCGTAGAGGGTCCCTACTCCTCTCAGTGGCAGGCAGCTATGGATGCAGAGATGGCTTCCTGGAAGTCCACAGGCACCTACGTTGACGCAGTTCCCCCTCCTGGGGCGAACATCGTCAGTGGCATGTGGATCTTCCGGGTGAAGCGGCCGCCGGGCTCTCCACCTGTCTTCAAGGCGCGGTACGTTGCTCGTGGCTTCAGTCAGCGGCAGGAAGTTGACTACTTTCAGACCTTCTCTCCCACCCCGAAGATGACCACTCTTCGGGTGCTACTGCACATAGCCGCTCAGCGCGACTACGAGCTTCACTCTCTTGACTTCAGCACTGCGTTCCTGCAGGGTAGCCTGCACGAGGAGATCTGGCTGCGCCGTCCACCTGGCTTCACTGGGACTTTCCCTCCTGGCACCCAGTGGAGCCTCAGACGGCCAGTCTACGGTCTCCGCCAGGCACCGCGTGAGTGGCACGACACACTGAGGACTACGCTTGCGGCTCTTGGGTTTGCTCCTTCTACTGCTGACCCGTCGCTGTTTCTGCGCACCGACACCTCGCTTCCGCCGTTCTACATCCTCGTGTACGTCGACGACTTGGTCTTTGCCACAGCGGACACTGCTGGACTCGCTTACGTGAAGTCCGAGCTGCTGAAGAGACACACGTGCACAGACCTGGGTGAACTGCGCAGCTACCTTGGCTTGCAGATCACTCGGGACAGAGCACGCCGCACCATTACCTTGACTCAGTCACACATGGTGCAGCAGGTCCTTCAGCGCTTCGGCTTCACGTACTCCTCGCCTCAGGCCACTCCTCTACCTACTCGCCACTCACTCTCAGCTCTGCCTTCGGATGAGTCCGTAGAGTCGAGTGGCCCGTTTGCAGAGCTTGTTGGCTGCCTCATGTACCTGATGACCTGCACACGACCTGACCTCGCATACCCTCTTAGCATTCTCGCACGCTTTGTTGCTCCTGGGAGACACAGACCGGAGCACATGGCTGCAGCGAAGAGGGTATTGCGCTACCTGTGCAGCACGTCGGGCATGGGGCTAGTGCTTGGAGGGCGGAGTCCAGTGGTCCTTACCGGCCACGCGGACGCTTCTTGGGCTGACGACCAGGCTACGCAGCGGTCGTCACAGGGTTACACCTTCAGCCTTGGTTCCGGCTCTGTCTCGTGGCGTTCTACTCGCTCGTCTTCGGTTCTCGGCTCCAGTTGTGAGGCTGAGATCTACGCCGGGGCCATGGCTGCACAGGAGCTTCGCTGGCTCACCTACCTGCTGACTGACCTTGGAGAGCCGCCTCGTTCTCCTCCAGTGCTGTACGTAGACAACAAGGCTATGCTGGCCTTGTGTCGAGAGCAGCGCTTGGAGCACAGAACGAAGCACATTGCTCTCCGTTACTTCCTTGCTCGTGAGCTGCAGCAGCGTGGTCAGTTGCGACTTGCGTACGTGGCCTCTGAGGCCAACACTGCTGATGTGTTCACCAAGGCACTCGCGCCTTGTGACCATCAGCGCTTTTGCACCCAGTTGGGTCTTGTGCCTGTCTTGCCTCACTTGCTCTCCTCTTGACTTCACTTGTACTGAGACATATATATATGCCTGCTCTTGTTTGTCTAGTTTTATATATATGTCTGTACTCCTGCATGTGAACTGGCCTCTGGCCCTACTCTTGTGCTCGGACTGTGTGGTGACTTTGTGATCCACCCTGAGCTTGCTTTGCTTTGCTTGACTGGTCTTGTGACCCCTTGTTCTCCCCCACTTTGCCTATGGGGGTGTGTCAGATTTATATGACATAGTTGTTGTAGGCTATAGTGGGGTAGCACATATGGGGTACAGGGTTTCTAGGGTTGTATTTGTACCCATCTTTCCTTAGTCATTTTCATCCCTGTTCGTTTATTCTCACAAAAAGACCCACGACTTGAGCTTCGCCCCGTCCGCCGTGCACGCCTGCATCACGGTCACACCCTCCTTCTGGTAACCTGCACTCCGGATGGGCACCGACCGTACGCCTGTCTGATCCACAGTCGTGGTGGCGGGCATCTCCAGCCAGAGCGGCGTCTGGTCAGCGTTGAGAATCCAGCATGGCTCGATGCCGCGCGCGCGACGCATGTGTCGGACAAAACGCCAGAATTTCTGGCACTGCTCCGCAAGATCTGTGAGACAGGGGAAAGCGGGCGGGATAGACGGCAGTTTAGTAAGTGAATTTGAAACTTAGACATAAAAGCAAGGGGCGTAATCTTACGAGCGGCTGTTTTCTGAGCAACCCGCGTCTTCATGCGGACGCTCAGATTCCACCGCTTCCGAAACCGCTCCGACCATCTCTGACTCCCGCTCCACTTGACGTCCGGGTAGAGAATCTTCATGAACTCCCTCGACCACTCCCGCAGACGGCCGACCGACACGGCGGTTCCTTTGCGGCCAGACCAGGAGCCGCTCGTACACCTTCAACTCCATGGGGCGGTACCACGAGGCCCGCCCGCGACCGTGCATGCGCTTCCGCCCGGAGTGTGCTTCTTTGAGAAACCCCGCTGCCACCTTCCAGTTGGCGAGACACTTCCGGTGAATCCCACACTCCCGAGCTAGTGCGCGCACCGACTTCGCCACATCCAGCATCGCGACGTACTTCAACTTCTCCGCAGCGGTGTAGCCTTTGCGCTTGTGATCGCTGATCTTGTGCCTGGGAGAGGGGGGGCGGGCATCACGGTTCTGGGTAGACGGGTGGGGTCGCTTGCGGTTAGCTGGTGGAAAGGAAGGTATCGGCAGTTCCTCGGGGAGCCCGTCACGTGACCAGTACTCGACACCGTCGTCGTCGTCGCCACCAGGTACGCCCTCAGGAAACACATCCTCAGGGGTGCCGCCTTGCGCGCCACCTTCCTCAGCCTCGTCGCCGTCATCACGGCTCGCTTCCTCGTCGCCGTCAACACGGCTCGCTTCCTCGTCCTCAGCCACGTCGTCGTCAGCTCCGAGTGCAGATTCGTCCCACATGGTGCAATCATCGGGCCGGCCCCAACGTGGTCCAGGGTAAGGTGCGCCGGGTACCTCAACATCTTGGGCCTTGTTGCTTTCCGGTTCCTCCAACCACTCGTCAAACGCAGTCGGGAGCAGCGTGAGCACGGGCGGATCCCCTGTGTTGTGAGGACATCCCAGAATCGGAGGAGACGGAGGAACAGGAGGAGCAGGAGGCGCAGGCGGCAAAGGAGGAGCAGGAGGAGCAGGCGGCGCAGGAGGCGATGGAGGCTGTGGTGGCTCTGGTGGTTCAGGTGGGACACGGGAGTACCATCCGTCGGCGTCGACTACGAAGGCGGGCCTACGCGCGGGCTTCTTTTTGAACAAGAAATGAGTGCCAGCGAATTCCGCCATGGCTTCCGCAGCATGGCGGGCGAGACCAAGAATCTGAATGACAAAAGTGAAAGAGAAGGCGAAGAAATGAGGGTTTGGAGGGGACCCCTTCTGGTGTGCGGCTCGAGTTCCTCTTCAGGCATAGTCAGATCCCCCCCTGCCTAAACCGGCAGAGGATGGAATCGCGGCACGTATCTGCTGCGCTGGCAGGAATATGCCACCCCCTTCTCGAAAGTTCGGGTAAAATGTGGCACCCTGGCAGCGCATGTAAACCCTATTGGGCCGCACGCCAGGATGCACGTCATCGCTGGCAGGTGCGTTGCTCCAGGACAGGTTCTGTGCGGTGGGAAATCGAGTCGCGGCTGTTTTCGCCGGAATTTCACGCACGATCCCATGCGCAACATTCACAGTTGTGTTCGCCTTATTGTGGGCTTCAATTTAATACTTCGAAAACCAAAATTGGAATTTGACATTTTATAAGCGCCGGCGCTTATGGCCGTTCCTCAATTACAAGCACCACCCCTAAAAAATCATTACTTATTATAAGCGCATATGCGCTTATATCCAGGGCCAAACGGTATCCTCCAAAAAAATTACCCAGACACGTCAAAATGACCCCCTAAAAACCTCTCTGATTTTCAGAGAAACAGAGTAATTTACTCTGATAAAAAAACCCCTGATCCATGCTAACCAACCCCAACCAGATTAGCTGGTAACACATAGGCATTGCCCCTAGTGCATAGAACCTCGCTCCACCACACCCACCCATCCTACACCCACACCCAACCGCCCACCCAAAAGCACTTTCTCACGAAATATCCCAACATGTCACCCACCCACGCCAAGATATGATCACGCAAAGATTCCTTTACTCCCTCTGACCCTAACCACGAGAACCTTCTGAAGATGGTCAGTAAGCAGCACCCCCTGATTCCATCGCCCAACTGCCCCACCCCTCCCCACCCCAACCCCTTTGGCCCATGCCTTATCCATCTCACTTGCAGCAGCAACCCTCCTATTTGAACGCCTAACCAGCCACGTCTCTTCCTTTCTGGTCACGCTATGATGCTTCTTCCCCCTATTGCCGAAACAAAAAATCTCTCACTTACGAGCAGCAGCCCGCCTAGCAACACTCACCGGCTTGGCACTCCACTCGTCCGCCTATGTGACAGCCTATGTGACCCAGGCAAGGACCATCTTTCACTTATCAGTAGCAGCCGCCCTCCTACTCGACCGAGGTGACTTGTAAGTCAACTCAAAAGTCACTCCCACGTTTGGCCCAGGCAAGTACCACCTTTTACTTATCAGCAGCAGCCCTCCGACTCGACTGCCTGACCACTCCACTTGCTTCCCCTGCAGCCCTACCCCCTCGCCCCCTGCCACTCCCCCCTCTGGCTCCCCTACCTCCTCTCTTCAAAGGGCTAGCCTCTGTGCCCCCTCTACCTCCCCTCTTCATAGGACTTGCCCCTGCCCCCTCCACTGTCCCCCCCACAGTCCCCCCCACTGCCCCCCCCACTGCCCCCCCCACTGCCCCCCCCACTGCCCCCCCCACTGTCCCCCCCACTGTCCCCCCCACTGTCCCCCCCACTGTCCCCCCCACTGTCCCCCCCACTGTCCCCCCCACTGTCCCCCCCACTGTCCCCCCCACTGTCCCCCCCACTGTCCCCCCCACTGTCCCCCCTCTAGCCCCTCTCTTCGAAGGACTTGCCCCTCCCCTCCCCCTGCCTCCTCGCTTCACGGGACTCGCTCCCCCTCTTGCCCCCTTCCCCCTTCCTACAGGACGGGTCTCCCCGCTTTCAACCGCTCTCGCTTTCGCCCCTCGGCCCCTACCCCTTGTCTGCCTTCCTCCCTGCTCCGCTTTCTTCTCTTCCTCTTCCACCTCTACCTCCTCCTCTTCCTCCTCACTTCCAAGATCAACCACCTTCTCCTCTTCCTCCTCGTCCTCCTCCTCGTCCTCTGATGCAAGGTCAACCATCTCTCCCATCGCCCCCACCTCCTCCACCCCCTCATCCTCCTCCTCTTCCTCATCTCCCCCCTCCTCCACCTCCACTACCGTTCTCCCCTTCCCTCCACGCACCCGCCCACGCCCTCTCAACCGCACCCCTCTCCCCCGTCCCCCTCCCCGTCCCGCTACCACATCAATTTTCCTCCTTCCTCCCCCACCCCTAATTAGAGACAGCATCCCTCCTCCCCGTGATGCTATCACATCACTCTTGCTCCGTCCCGCGCTCCTTCCTGGCGTCTGCCTTCCGCTCCTTCCTGGCGTCTGCCTTCCGCTCCTTCCTGGCGTCTGCCTTCCGCTCCTTCCTGGCGTCCGCCTCAGCCCACCCCCCGGGGTATCAACCACAAACCCCACGTGTCGATCGCCCGACTCTCCTTTCCTCCCGCCTCTCAGCGCACTCACAAGACCGCCCCTCCCGCTTCCTCCTCCCCTCCCGCTTCCTCCTCCCCTCCCGCTTCCTCTGCCCCTGACCTTCACTCCACCCCTTGCTCTTGCACCAGTCCTTCGACTCCCTGAAGCAACACCAGCAGCTTCCTCAGATGACGCAGCAGCAGCAGCAGCAGCATCATCATCGCTGGCAGCAGTGGCAGCAGGGGTAGCAGGGGTAGCAGCAGGAGGAGGGGTAGAAGCTGCAATTGCTCTCTTCGCCCGGGTCTTCTTTGAGGCATCACCAGCAGCAGGAGCGCGGGCAGGAGTCACAACCAACTCAACCACTCCATCCTCTTCATCCTCCGCCTCCTTTAGCTTCTCATCGGCTCTTGCTGCTGCTGATCCTGCGGCACATGCAGTGAGTGCATTCAGTGACGCAAATGTGGGTGCCGCACCCCGTCGTCTTGTCTGCCGCGCTCCTCCCACACTGCTTGCACCCACATCCGCCTCAGGCACATTTACCTTCCCCGCATCTGCCTTTTCTGCACCCGCCTTCCCTGCTCCTCTCCTTCGACCGCCAGCTTCCTTTTCTGCAGGCTGTGCAGCGCCTCTCCTTGCCCGCCCCACTGCCCTGCCTCGACTGCTCCTGGTGCTGGCCACTTCCACCACCTCCATTTCATCATCAGCAGCGGCAGCAGGGGAGGCACGGGCAGCAGGGGAAGCAGGGGCAGCAGCAGAAGGGGCAGCGGCAGCTGCAGCAGGGGCAGGGCTAGTGGCCACACCAGGTCCTCCCCGACGCCTTCTCTTGCCCGCACCACTCTCTTCGTCCTCTCCCTTACTCGCTTCCGCAGCCTCCCCTGTCTCTCCAGCACCCCTTTTCCTGCCCCGCCTTGCTCCTGCTGCTGTTGCCTTGTCACTCTCGTCTGCGGCTGCAGCAGACAGTGCCTCAACTGCCGCTGCTGCTGGCACTGCTGCTGCTGCTGCTCGTGTTGCCCTCGTCCCTGCCCCTCTCCACCCTCGCCCTCTCCTTCCTCTTCCACCCCTTCCACCCCCACGCCCACCAGATACCCCTGCATCCACTTTCCCCACCTCTTGAACCCCCTCCCCTTCTTTCCCTGCCTCAGCTGATCCCTCCTCTTTCGCCTCTCCCTCCTCTCCCACCACTTGCACCTCTTCCTCCTCTTCTTCCTCGTCCACTACAGTTGCTGCTGCTGGCTCGGTTGCTTTCTTTATTCCTCGTGTTGCCCTAGTCCCTACCCCTCTCCCCCCTCGCCCTCCCCTTCCTCGTCCGCCCCTTCCACCCCTCCGACCACCAGAAACCCCTGCTTCCACTTCCCCCACCTCTTGAGCCCCATCTTTCCCCACCTCTACTGCCCCCACCTCTTGAACCCCATCTTTCCCCACCTCTACTGCCCCCACCTCTTGAACCCCATCTTTCCCCACCTTTACTGCCCCCACCTCTCCCACCACTTGCACTTTTTCGTCCTCTTCCTCCTCCCCCAACGCCATCACTTCTGCTGCCACAGTTGCCGCTGCTGCCGCTGGCTCAGTTGTATTCTTTGCCCCTCTCCCCCCTCGCAATCTCCCCCCTCGCAATCTCCCCCCCCGCAATCTCCTCCCTCGTCCACCCCTTCCACGCCCACGCCCACCAGAAACCCCAGCGTCCAAGTTCCCCACCTCTTGAACCCCCTCCACAGCTCGTCCAACTGCTCCCTCCTCTTCCGAGTCTCCCTCCTCTCCCAGCACTTGCACCTCCTCCTCTTCCTCCTCGTCCGCCACAGTTGCTGCTGCAGCTGGCTCAGTTGCTTTCTTTGCTCCTCGTGCCCTCATTCCTGCTCCTCTTCCCCCTCGCCCTCTCCTTCCTCTTCCTCCCCTCCCACCACCAGGCACAGGAGTCCCCACTGCTTGCACTTCCACCTCTTCTCGCACATCTCCCACCTCTTCCACTCCCTCTAAAGACTTTCTTCCTCTTCTTCCTCTTCCTCCCCTCCCACGACCAGACGCAGGGGACCTTACTGCTTCCACTCCCACTTCCACCTCCTCTTCTCGAACATCTCCCACCTCTGCCACTCCCTCTGAAACCTTTCTTCCTCTGCCTCCCCTTCCTCCTCTTCCTCCCCTTCCTCCCCTTCGACCACTGCGCCCACCAGACCCCTTTCCGTCCCCTTCCACTGCCCCTTCCTGCACATCTGCCACGACTGCCACTCCCTGCATCGCCCTCCTTCCTCGCACTGGTTGCACCTCACTCACCAATACCACTGCCTCCTCCTCTTCTTCCTCCTCTTCCTCCTCTTCCACTTCCACTACCATCACATGCGCTGTTTCTGCCCCCCTTCTGCTCGCCCTTGCCGCTCTGGTTGCTGCTACTGCTGGTGCTGGTGCAGTAGCTGCTGCCTTCCTACCCCTCCTGGTTCGACCCACACTTTCCGTCTCCCCCGCACTTGCACCAGCAGCACCAGGAGTCCCAGCAGCAGCAGGAGATCCACCAGCAACAAGAGCAGCAACAGCAGCTACACGAGTCACCCTGCGCCTCTTCCCTTCAGGCTGCTCCTTCACGTCTCCTCGCTTCCCTGCCCCACCTCTTTGGCCTTTATCCCCAACTTCCTCCTCCACCTGCTCGGCCTCCTCCTCCCTCTCCAGTGCTCTGCGCTTTGACCTCAGGGGCCTTGCCTCGGGTATTCCCGAGGCACCAGCAGGGCGGGCGGAAGCAGGAGAAGCAGAGGCTGCAGCAGCAGGAGAGGCATCAGCAGGGCCGGCAGCAGCTTTGCGTGAGCCCCTGGTCTTCCTCCCCTTGCTCTGTCCTTTCTCAGGTGCTTCTTCAGGTGATTTGGGAGAGGCCTTGGCAGGCGATGCAGACGTGGACGCACTGGTTGATTTGGGGGCGAACCTGCTTGAGCTTCTGTAAGGTGACTTGGCAGGGGATTTGACTGGTGAGTAGGCAGGTGAATTGGCAGGGGAATTGGCGGGTGATTTAGCAGGGGTAGTGGCAGGTGACTTGGCAGGTGATTTAGCAGGGGTAGTGGCAGGTGACTTGGCAGGTGACTCGGCAGGTGACTCGGCAGGTGACTTGGCAGGTGACTTGGCAGGTGACTTGGCAGGGGTTGTGGCAGGTGACGTGGCAGGTGTCGTGGCAAGAGACTCAGCAGGCAACCCTGGCGCTGCTACCAGCACAGAAGCCCCACTCCTTCCTGCACCCATGCTCGACCGCCTGGGAGTGACTGACGACTTTCGGGGCCTCCCAGGTGTCGCCTGCGAGGGAGTGACTGACAGCCTATCACTCACCCGTGGACGGCGCGTTGGGGGAGTGGAGGCAGCAGGAGAGGCGAGAGGAGGTGGAGGGGAAGGAGCAGTGGGAGTGGGGCGGGGAGGCGGAGTGGAGGCAGGGGAGAGGCGCTTGGCTTCCACTGACAGCCGCCTGGTTAGCACTCGGGGCTTTGCCACTGCTGTGAGTGCGTGGCGGGAAGCCATGCCACGGGAAAGAGGGGTCTGGGAGTGGATGGGGCGGAGAGAACGGGAAGGAAAGAGAATGTGAGTTAGAGTGGGAGTGCCATGGAGCCGCCTGGCGAGCAGCACTCGGGGCTTTGCCACTGCTGTGAGCGCGTGGCGGGAGGACAGGCGGACCGGTGACCTGCCTCGGGAAAGAGGGGTCTGAGAGAGCGAGAAAGGGACAGGGACAAAAGGAGGCGAGGGGAAGAGGACATGAGTTACGGGAGTGGAAGTAGGATACGGTCTTCTTAATCAGTAGCTTTTACCTTCACAGCAAAACGCAGATATATCAGTCAATGAGTTTCACCTTCACAGAACGATGCAGTCTTCTCAATCACTCACTTTTACTCTCCCTGGCGTTGCTGCTGTAGCTGCCTTAGCTGCCCCTCCTGCTCTGCCTGGTGTCGCTGCTTTGCCTGGTGTCCCTGTCTTGCCCAGTGTCCCCGCTTTGCCCGATGTTGCTGCTTCACCCTGTGCCCTCTGCCCCCCCAGCATGAGCCTCACTGGTGTCACCCCCACGCCCTCAGACACACGCCTCGAAAAACTCTTGCTCTTCCTCTTCCCGATTCCTGTTGCCGCCCGCCCCACACCCCCTCCCACCCGCCCCATAACCCCGACACCCCCTGTCGCCCCTCTGCCGCCCCGCCTGACCGGCGTCACCCACTTCACCGCCCCTGCTCTCCTCCCTGCTCCTGCCGCCCGCCTGCCCGTCCCTATCATGGCATCCCAAGCACCCCCAATAGCAGCCTTGGCAGCATCCGCCTTTGCAGCGTTACGCCCCACACTGCTACTACTACCCACGGACTGACTCCCAAGGGACCGTCTCTTAGCAGCACTGCCGCCCTCTGCTGCTGCCTCGGCCTGTCTCTTTCTTGGTGTCACCTTGTCATAACTGAGCCGTGGGCTCTTGGCACGACTCGTTTCAGGGATCTTAGCAGCACTCCTCCTAAGAGGGATCCTACCAGGGCTTTTGACAGTGCTTTTAAGAGGGATCTTAGCAGCGCTCCTCCTAAGAGGGATCCTAACAGGGCTTTTGACAGTGCTTTTAAGAGGGGTCTTGGCAGGGCTTTTAGCAGTGCTCTTACCATGGGACTTAGCAGTACTCGTGACGGGGCTCTTGCGAGGGGTTCTGGTAAGGCTCTTAGCAAGGGACACAGGAGGAGTCTTAGCAGGGGACACAGGAGGAGTCCTAGCAGGGCCCTTAGCGGCGCCCCTGGCAGTCCTCCTGGTAGAAGGCGTACTAACAGCACCCTTACGAGGGGTTCTGCTGGGGCTTTTAGCAGGGTACTTAGCAGGGTACTTAGAAGGGCTCTTAGCAGGGCTCTTAGCAGGGCTCTTAGCAGGGCTCTTAGCAGGGCTCTTAGCAGGGGACTTAGCAGGGCTCCTAACAGGACTCTTAACAGCACTCGTAGCAGGGGTCTTAGCACCCCGCTTAGAAGGGGTCTTAGCAGGGCTCTTCACAAGCCCTTCAATAGGGCTTGTGGCAGCGCTTGTAGCAGCAGCCGGGCTCTTAGCTTCAGGCGTCGTGACCTTCTGCCCGCCACGAGCAGGGCTCTTGGTTACAGCAGTCTTGGTTACACGTGTTCTGGTTACCACAGCAGTGGTACTTGGAGACTTGACTCGGCGAATCTTGGCTTTTGGGCCAGCAGTGGCAGCTCGTCGCCTTGAGACTGCCACTGGCTTTGCTGCGAGTGGCGTTGCTGCTGGTGGTGTTGCCGCTGCTGGCTTTGCCGCTGCTGGGGTTGCCGCTGCTGGTGTTGCCGCTGCTGGCGTTGCCGCTGCTGGCGTTGCCGCTGCTGGCGTTGCCGCTGCTGGCGTTGCTGACGGCACTCTTGCTGCTGCGTTAATCCCAGAGAAGGGTGATGCTGAGGCTGGTCCAAACCCAGCAGGCGTAACCGGCGAGCCTGGTGTGATCAGCCCACCAGACGCGGTTACCCCACCAGGTGTGGTTGGAGTGCCAGGCAAAGCACCATCACCCGCTGCACCGACACTCTCAGCCTTTTCTCCATCCTCTGCTGCCGCCGTGCCAACACCGCCCGCTGCCAGCCGCTGCTCCGCTTCCCCTACCTGCCCCTGCCCTTCCGCCTTGCCCTCACGCGCCACTTCCGCCCCTCCTTCCACTCCCTCTCCCCCTTCCGCGGTGCCCTCTGCCCCTTTGAAGGCCCCTTCTCCCCTTTCCATCCCCGCCATGCCTTCAACAAACACTGGCTCCTCTACCTCACTGAAGAACGCCTGCCGTTTCTGCTGCCGCCTGAGGGACGTGGATCAGAGATGTACAGAGCGGTATGATTTATTTAATTATTTATATATATATATAACTAAACAGCAAACACACATTCTTATATATATAAGAGTGCCTGGCACTCCTGCTGTGGCCTGCAAGACATGAACAGGAGAGATACGAAGATGGCTACTTTCAAATTGAATCAAATGTAAACAGGTGCTAGACACGCCATCACTGGAGAACGCCCCAATGCTTCCCGATGTCTCACATTTCACCCCACCCCATCGCATCCCACCTCACCCCATCGTATTTCACCTCACCCCATCGCATCCCACCCCACCCCATCGCATCCCACCACACCCCATCCCATCCCCTGTCACACCATCTCACCAAGAATCAACTTCCGCAGCAGCTGCCTTCTCTTCCTCTTGCCCCACCAGCAGTGCCACCACCTCTCCCTCCTCCAAATCCTCCAAGTCCCCATCCTCGTACCGAACCTTGTACCACCCCTCCTCCCGGTCGTACTTAAACACCCGACCCAGTAACACCACGTCGCCGAACCTCTTCCGAACCAGTTTGCCCAGGTACGGCGCGGCAGAGGGAGGGAGAGGAGTGGGAGCAGGAGAAGGAGTGCGAGTGGGAGCGGCAGGAGGGGTGGGAGTGGGAGCAGCAGGAGGGGTGGGAGCGGGAGCAGCAGGAGGGGTGGGAGCGGGAGCAGCAGGAGGGGTGGGAGCGGGAGCAGCAGGAGGGGTGAGAGTGGCAGCGGCAGGAGGGGTGAGAGAGGCAGCGGCAGGAGGGGTGGGAGTGGTAGCTGTAGGAGGGATGGTAGTGGCAGCGGCAGGAAGCGGCAAGGCTGAGGGAGTAGTGACGCCGTCCGCTGCAGGTGCAGGAGTGGCGAGGAAGATTGCAGGAATGGCGGGAGAGGCAGCGGGAGGAGAGGTTGGAGTGGCAGCGGAAGGAGGGGTGGGAGTGGCAGCGGAAGGAGGGGTGGGAGTGGTAGCGGAAGGAGGGGTGGGAGTGGCAGCGGAAGGAGGGGTGGGAGTGGCAGCGGAAGGAGGGGTGGGAGTGGCAGCGGAAGGAGGGGTGGGAGTGGCAGCGGAAGGAGGGGTGGGAGTGGCAGCGGAAGGAGGGGTGGGAGTGGCAGCGGAAGGAGGGGTGAGAGTGGCAGCGGAAGGAGGGGTGGGAGTGGCAGCGGAAGGAGGGGTGGGAGTGGCAGCGGAAGGAGGGGTGGGAGTGGCAGCGGAAGGAAGTGGCGAGGCTAAGGGAGTGGTGACGCCGTCCGCTGCAGGTGCAGGAGTGGCGAAGAGGATTGCAGGAGTGGCGGCGGGGGTGGCAGCAGGAGTGGCTGAGGGGGTGGCAGCAGGAGAGGTGGTGGCTGTTGCGTTCGGGGTGTCAGCAGGAGTGCAAACGGCTGTAGCAGGGGTGCTGACGGCTGTAGCAGGAGTGCTGATGCCTGTACCAGGAGTGTTGACGGTCGTCGAAGGTGTGCTGACGCCTGTCGCAGGTGTTTCGAAGTCTAAATCATCAAACGTTAGAGCATCCGGAGCACTAGGCGTAGAAGCAGCAGCGTCAGCATCGGCCCCAGCAGGTGTCCCGGGCGGGACGCGAGCGGCTGAGGGCGAGCGCGCATCAGGCGGGGTGGGACGCGGCGTGCGTGGAAGGTTGGAGCTGCGACCACGGGGATCATCACCGCCACCTTTACCATCACCAGCGGCGGCAGCAACTCCATTGCCGACAGTCTCCCCACCTACCTGTGCGGATCCCTGACCCTCCCGGGAAGCTTGATCCGCCTCGGTTTCTGCTTCTGCTGTCGTTTCCTGCCGCTCCTCTCCGCCGCTCTCTTTGTCTTTGACGGAAGTCCCACCTACTGCGCCCACCCTCCCGTCGCCGTCTCCCTGCCCTTGCGCCTCGCCTGGCGTCGTTCCAACCTCTTCCCCACTCCCCCCCGCGGCCGTTCCCGGCTCTGCCTCTTCCCGTGCCGTGTCAGGAACCAACAGTGCTTCTTCTCGTGGCGTTCCGCTGGCCGGTTGCGAAGCGCCGCCTGCTTCTTCCTCCGCTTTGGCTTCTTCATTATTAAGGAGTCCAGTTACAGGGAGTTCGTCCTCAGAAGCGGCTGCCGTCCCCGTTATTGCATCGTCATGTAAAACGTGCTGGTCAGAAGCTTGTACATGGTTATTCGGCGATTCAGCTGGTATTTGGAGAGCAGCGGGGTCAGATGCACGAACGGAATCGCCAGCCGCGTCAGTCACGTCAGCGTCAGCAGCATCAGCATCAGCGTCACCATCAGATATGTCCCAGGGGTTACCTTGGTCAGAACGATTAGCAGCGGTAACGGCATCACCGTCGGCATTTGCCACGTCAGTGATATTATCCACAGTGTCGCCATTGGCTGTAACCACCGGAGGGTTGGTCCACGTGGCGCCACCTCCTAGCAGGTCGTCAGGAAGAGTGGGAGTGCCGAACACGTCATCTGTCGGTAACTCGGCACCCTGGGTCTGTGCCAGACCGCTAGAAAGACCGCCGGGTATTATTTCCGGGAAATCAGCTGCTTTCGAGAACGGGTCTAGGCTTTGAAAATAGGCGTCCTGCTCGCCTGTACCTTCGGGATTTTCGGACCCGCCTTCCATTATGACTCACTCCTGTTTTGCGGAAAGGAAACTGGAGTGAAGAATAGTCAAGAAAAAAACCTTTCGGATTAGTCTCAGGATTTTATATTCCAACCGCAGCTCAAGCTCCTCGGTCAAGCGCTGCCGTACGATCAAGAAGCGCACGAGGAGCGCACAAAAGACCGATCGGAAAACGTAAGAGCTGATAGGTAGAAGGAAGCGGAGATCTGGCAATGTTGTCTCTTGAGAAAATAATTCTGGACATGGGGTTTCCAGCAGCAAGCAAGCAAGCAGCCTCTCAATTCAACGTTGAGAGCACTTGGCGATCCAGCAGGTTGCGAGGGTATTGGCGGTCTCGCCAAGACATGCACCAAAGTTTTTTATAACCTGCTCGACCAGGGTAGTATCATCGAAGAGCTTTCCGTAATTCACGTTCTTATCGAACGGACAATGAAGCGTACCTTGCCTCCGAGCCGAACGTAAGTTCTCATTTGGCCGAGCCTCTGACGAAAACCAGATCTGTCAGGCGGTAGCAGTTCTTGCCCCAGAAAATGAAGTTTGCTGTAAAGTGATTCGACACAGTTTGTAGCTAATAAGCACCACCCCATACAACCTACATCGGAAAAAATCCCGTTTCGTAGTTCTCGCGAGCCAAAACCTACCCCGAACAAAAGCACCCTCTGCCCACTCTGCTTGGATTTGCGTCTCGACATCCATAACCTAGGTCATCCATAGAGCTGCTGTCGTGTCGCCATCGCCTGCCACGGATGCATCTCGCGAGGGTGCTCTCCGCCACGTGTCGCAATGCGTTGAAGCAGCGTAGCACCGTGGCTTTACCGCCATCGCTGCCCGTATCACTGCAGCAGCAGCGGCGGCACCAGAGCGGGCAGCAGAGCGGGCAGCAGAGCGAGCAGCAGAGCGGCCTCGCGGATTTCTTCGAACAGGGTCGCACGCCCGACGCGCCCGTCACTACCGGTAGGGCTCACCGCCGTTGGGGATCACCATCGGCAGCATTTACTTAACGAGTCGTGGGGCCTACTACTTGTCCGTCTGTATTTCAACGATCTGTAGGGTCTCAGGTCTGTGCGACTGACGCGAAGCGTGCGGCGTGCGACGACAGGTAGAGCAATCGCTTCGTCCGTCCACCACACCTGCTTTCACCATCCCGTTCCCATTTCCCTTCCCAATTCCTTTCCGAACACACAGGGCGCGGGTGGCAGGCGTGGGAGCTGCGGCACAAGTCGTTCGAGGACCCGTTTCCACCCCACCGCACCCTCCCATACCCCTTTCTTTCCCCACAGGGCGCGGGTGGCAGGCGTGGGAGCTGCGGCACAAGTCGTTCGAGGACCTACACGGGCTGTGGTACGTGCTGCTCAAGGAGAAGAACCTGCTCTACTCGCAGAAGCAGATGCTGCAGTCGCAGGGCCGCCGCATGGTGCAGCCCCACCGCATCCGCCTCGTGAGTTCCCTTGCGCTCTTTACCCCGGCCTTGCAAGCGTCTCAGCATGACTCGCAAGGCCACGCTAGCCCCACTGCATCCTCGCTGTGAGGCGCCTCCACTCTCTCACCCCAGCCCTTGGCTCTACCACTGCATCCTCTTCGTCATGCCCCCCCTCTTTCCCCCTCTTTCCCCCTCCCTCCTTTTCCAACTTCTCCCCCTCGCCCTTGCCCGCTGCCCCTTCCCTGGCTATATCCCTCCCCTCCTCGCCCTTCCACTGCCCCCACCTTCGCTATGTCCCGTCGTGTCCACTGTGAACGTCCTTTTTGTTCCTTCTTTCCCTTCTCCCTCCTCCTCGCCCTCTCTCCCCTTCACTTCTCTCCCTGTTTCCCTCCTCCCCCCTCCTTCGGCCCCCCTTTCAAGGCTTCCTTCCTTGCATTTCTTGTTCCTCGTTCCTAATTTTATGTTTTCAGTAGCATTGAGATGCCTTGTACTGTACATCGTACTTTCCCTGATCCCTCTCCCACTTGCAATCGCCTGTGCCCATTCTCCGTGTGACAGGTGAAGGCATCAATGTGTAGAATAAAGCAAGTGCTGACGGAGAGAGCACTCGCTGTAGAGGACCCTGATAAGAGATGGTTTTATAAGAAAATTATCAATGACATGTAGGCTGCTGTTGAGTAAAAGAGCACTCCCCATTCTTTCTGGTGAATTGCGTATCTGAAATTTGGCAGGGAAAGTGTTGGTTGGATTATTACCAGTCTTGACTGAGCAATAACCAATAGCGTGTGTCTCAAAGAGGGGATTTGTGAAGCTTTTCACGCAACACCACCATTTTTTCTAGTGAATTTTGCGAGCGGTCAGGATTCCAGTTCCGTTCCGATAGAAGCTTGAGCACCCCGAATTCATGATCGAAACGCAACTGTGATCTATGCACTTGCTAGAATTCGCCTCGACGCAGATCTCACGGCCAGTACTGTAGTGACGCGATGACTCCTCCCCGCGTCCCTCGCCTCTGTCTGCTAATCTTCTCTTCCATTGCCCGCCGCTTTCCGCCCCTTTTCCGCTCCGGCTGATCAGCGACCGCAGTACGAATCAACGCAGCGCAATCAGCGCGTTCCTAACTCAGTAGATCTTCAAATTATATCATCCACAGCCGTCGTAGGTGCGACGAAGCCTTGCAGTGACGGCAATTCAGATGACGCGTCTGATTCAACCATAATAGCCATCGTCTTGACGCTTGACTTCTGAGTCGACTCAAAAGTCACCTCGTGGCGATTCAGATGACGCGTCTGATTCGACCGTATTAGCCGTCGCCTTGACGCTTCGTCGTTGCTGCTAGTTCAACAGCACCCGCCGCTCTCCCCGCCCTCTCCTCCGCGCCTCCTCCACGTTTCCCGCGCCGTCTCCCGGTTCCCCCCGCTTTGCCCTTCTACTGCTCCTCCCCGACTACCTGTTCCTCTCCTCGCTCCTCCCTCCCCCTCCGCCCCTCCGCCCTGCCGCCTCTCCCCATCCCCCTGATCCGCGAACGGGGGGAGCGCACGATGGCGGCGCAGCGGGCGCCGCCGAGCTTCCGCCTGCGCGCATACTACGGGATCGACTTCCCGGGGAAGGTGGCGGTGCTGGTGGCGCAGTCGCTGCTCTCATTCGCGCTCGCCGCCACCCTCTTTGGGCGCTATGCGGCGGCCGTCGCGCTCGTTCGCCGCTTCTGGCCGCTGCTGCCAGCGCAGGTACGCGCTCGCACGCACTAGTGTTTTGGCGGTAACAACAAGTCAGACAGTCAGTCAGCCAGTCAGTCAGGCCCTTAATTCTTCCCATTTCCCCTTCCTCCCCTCCCCTCCCGCATCCGGCCCCCCGTTCCCCATCCCCCTCCTCTCCCTCATCCGCCCCCCCGTTCCCCATCCCCCTCCCCTCCCCCATCCGCAGCTCTCCAGTTTCCTCGTCGGTTTCTCAGCAGCCTTGGCTCTCCTCCTCGCCGTCGCCTATTCCCTCACGCTCTCCGCCAACCTCCGCACCTCCCTCCTCCTCCGCCCCCGCCTCGCCCGCCACATGCTCTCACTCGTCCCCTCCTGGCAACCGGTCCGCACCGCTCTCGACCTGGGGAGCGGCCGCGGCGTTCTGCTCGCGAGCCTGGGGCTGCAACTCCTGGAGTGTGGCGGGGAGGGGCGGGCGATTGGGTTTGACACTTGGGAGACCAAGAGCCGTGCTGCTGCTGGGGTTAAAGGGGGAAGCAGATTGGAAGTGGAACAGAGTAGAGCTTCAAAAGGTGCAGCTGATGCTGATGCTGGGGATGGTGCTAGTGCTGACGCTGGTGCCACTGGCAGCAGCAGCAGCAGCAGTGGGAGGCACTTGCGGTACAGAAGAGCAGATAAAGCCAAAGCAGGCCACCCAGCCAGGAGTTCGGCCGGAACAACTCCCCCTGCTGCTACTGCTCCAGCGAGCGGGCTAGCAGCCGTGTCAGCGGCAGCAGTGGGGAGCATGGCAGGGACACTAAGAGCAGCAGCGAGGGAGGGCGTGGGGGCGCTGGTGACGTGCAAGACGGGCGCGTTCGACCGCCTGCCCTTCCCTGACGCCTACTTTGATGTCGTTGTTTCTGCCCTGCGCCTGCACGCCATTGCCTCGGTATGTGTCAGCCGTGTGCCACGTGCCTCGTGTGCCACGTGCCTCGTGTGCCACGTGCCTCGTGTCCCACGAGCCTCATGTGCCACGTGCCTCATGTGCCACGTGCCTCATGTGCCACGAGCCTCATGTGCCACGTGCCTCATGTTCCATACCTGGGTGCACTTGACCGCCCGCCCTTCCCTGATGCTTACTTTGATGTCGTTGTCTCTGCCCTTCGCCTCCATGCCATCGCTTCGGCACGTCTTGAAGCCGGGGGAACGGGTGGTGCTATGGTATGTCATACCTGTGCCTGCTTTTGCAGAACTCCTGACTCCCTTCCCCCGTTCCCGCCCGCCCTTCCCTCCCCCGTGTCCTCCCCTCCCGTCCGCCTACCCGGCAGGTGCTAGAAAGTACAGACACTCAAGCAGTGGAGAGGGAGCGGCAGAGGGTGGTTGGCGAGAGTGCTTAAGTGCTGAAGCGGCAGGGGTCTGGTCTGGTGCTGATGGGCATCTCACTCCCTCTTATCCCCACCTCTGCCTCCCATTCATCCACATGTTTTGAGACATCTCAAAACAACACTTTTATCACGTCACTCCCTCTTATCCCCACCTCTGTTTCCCATTCATCCACATGACAGGTGCTAGAAGACTCAGACCCATCAGCAGCGGAGAGGGAGCGGCAGAGGGTGCTGCAGCAGGTGGCGAGAGTGTTGAAACCGGGGGGGAGGGTGATAGTGTGGGATGTGATGCACGTGCCGGCCTATGCGGAGTATTTCAGGTCTCTGGGATGGAAGCATGTCGTAGTGACCCCCGGCCCGAATGCTTTCATGCTGCCCTCGCATGTCCTTTCTGCCCGGAAACCGAAATGACCAAGCAGGAATTTTCCGTTTTGTAAGGTGGTGTTGTAGTGCTTGTGCTGCTGCGGCTGCCGTGGCATTGCAATCGATCTTGAGAAAGAGGTCTCAGCAGAAGAGGGCACTTTGCAGCCAGAGAGGTGATGCCAGCAATGGCGCATTGTTGCATGCAGGTGCAGTGAGGATGGCAAAGCAGTGCGCAGCATACAGTCAGTCCCATCACATCACATCACACCGTTCAGACATAAATAACTTCATAAAGGTGGGTCATCAAAATACTCGCTATAAGCAGGCTCAGAGATCAGCTGTAAGAACCAGACACGAAAACTACGGTAAGAAGAGAGCAAGCTACGACGCAGGGCATGTTGGGTAGAGGCTCAGGGCCGAACGACAGGCAGCATGAGTGGGAGCGAGGGAGGGAGGGCAGTCAGAATTGTAAGCAGATGGGCCTTTGAACTGAGACAAGATGAGACGAGACGAGACGTCTCAGAAGGCAAGAGTTGTTGCTGAGTTCATGTCTCGGCAAGAAGACTCAGTCTGCACTGCATGGTCAGGTAATGCCCAGCGGGGCAGTGCAGAACAATATGTGCAGAAGACTCTGTCTGCACTGCATGGTCAGGTAATGCCCAGCGGGGCAGTGCAGAACAATATGTGCAGAAGAGAAGACTCTGTCTGCACTGAACTGAGATCAGCCACCCGAGACGACCCACCCACCCACCACCCTGTGTCACACGTACGTTTTGCCGCGTGCCTTACGTAGCAGAATCCAAAACCCCGGTTCCCTCAGTGTCCTTTAGATCTAGTCCCTGTGCCATAGTGGCCGCATGCAGCTTGATGCAATGCAGTCAGCCGACCGAGCTTGACCCGCACCACGAAACCCTCAGCTACGCGTCACCACGCTCTCACCACAGCCTGCTTCACCACAGCCTGCTTCACCACAGCCGCCTGCTTCAGTACAGCCTCCCCCACAACAGCCCTCCTCAGCAAGGCCTGATCAGTCAGATGAGCCACAGCCACAGACAGGCTGAACCAGCTCTCCTCGAGACAACACCATCCTCCCCCTCACCCCACCTCATCCCCCTTATAAGACGCCTCAACACTCAGCATGGCCAGCCCAACCGTGTGAACCACTCCTGACATACGCATGCCACAGGCTGAACCCAATCCTTTTGAATCCCTCCTCCCTCTCACCATCCCCTATGTAAGATGAGCCCATATTGAACTCAACATGGCCTCCCCAACCGTATCAGCCACTTGCGGTACGCATGCGACAGGCTCAACCAGCTCTCCTCCCTCTCCCCACCCCCCGCTCCACTCCCCCCTCCTCCTCTCCCCCCTCCGCCCCCACCCTCCGCACCCCCCATTTCGGGAATCGCCAGCTCAGGCAGCACAGGGCGGGAAGAGAAGAGAGACGCGCGGGCGGCCGCAGCAGCGGCGGCAATAGGGGACGGCAGGGGCGGGAGAGCATGAGGGGTGGGGCCGGCATGTTTTGTCCAGAAGGCAATTTGATACCAGAGGGTGTAGGTGTTGAGTTGCTCATGGGCGGGCAGTGTGAGAACAAGTTCATTGAATCCGGACACTAGCGCTGTCCGCTCCTCTGGGGTTAGGTCAAAACCTAACAGCTGATACCGCACCCCCTGCTGCTGCTGCTGCTGCTGCTGCTGCTGGTGTTGCTGTTGGGATTTGGCGTTGGGTGTGCTAGTGGACGCGGGTTGAGCAAGGGTGGATGAAGGGGGTTCTCTGCTGCTGCTGCTGCTGCTGCTGTTGAGTATCCCGCTGCTGCCACTGCGACAACTAACAGAGGAGGAGCAGATTTCCAGCAGCACGGGCAGCCACAGCCGCACAAACGACACGCGCAGCTGCGGATTCGCTACAAGCCGCTTCGATAGCATCGCACTCATGGTCCCCACTAGTGCTGACTTGACCACGTACAGTGCCCCGGGCGGGACCGCCCCCGCTGACGCTGCTGCCGCCCCCACCCCTCCCCCTCCGCTTCCCCCTGCCTGCCCTTTCCCCGGAGTCCCAACACTGTCTAACCCGCCATCCTCCCCCTCCCCCGCCCCGCCCTCCGCGCCCCCCTCATCCTCGTTAACAGTCTCCAGCCCCTGCGTCGAGAAACTGAAGCTCTTAGCGAATCCCGGACCTACCGCCTGGGCTGCCGGCAGGCCCTCCACGTCAGCAGGCTCGGCCCGAGCCTGCCGCTGCGTCAGGGAGCAGCTCTGCCGAACCTGCGAGACGAACTCGTTATCAGTCGCAAGCCATTTAAAGACCTCGTCCGCCATAGCGAATTCCAGCATCAGCCCCACGAGCCACGTCAGCGCGCCTTGCGCCCCGTATACCATCTCCAGCATCCCCTCGTCATCACCGCTCAATCCCCCCGCGCCTCCTCCTGCCTGCTCCGCCCCCCGCGGGCGCGGGGACGGCGCCGGAGCGTCATGCTGCGCGGCGGGAGAGGCTTCCCCGCGCGCCCCTGCGGGGGACGTGGCGGGAACAGGAAGCGGAGCGTCTCTAGGGGTGCGCGGGGACGGGCTCGGCGCTCCGCCTCCCGCGCCCCCCCCTGCTCCCGCTCCCGCCATTGCAGCCGCCGCGGCGCGCGTGCACGACGAGTTTCTACGCTTTAACTCCCGCTGCTCTGACCAAAGACACTGTAGGAGATCGACGAACGTCTCTCTAAGCACCGCCTTCTTGGTCTTAAGACTGAGCGTCGGCTCGTGGCGGTTCCGCAAAATCGCGCTCGCCGCCTCTCGGCACTCAATCGTCCCCGGAGCCACCTCCGCCGCCTTACCGCCGCCCCTTCCCGCCCCTGCCGCCCCCCGCCCTGCGGGCTCTTCCCCCTCCGCCTTCCCCGCGCCCTGGCGGCTGTCGTGAAACGCGACGGCGCGGATGAGCAGGATCCGAAGCGCGTCGGAGATGCTCTCCTCGTCCCACGTGCGCACCGGCAGACGGTCGAGGATCGGCCGCGCGTCCTGCAGATGCTCCAGCTGCGATACCAGCCGTAGGATCTCCTCCAGCTCATCGTCGTTCCACGGTACAGATTCGAGATAATCCACGCACGCGCTTGTGCACATGTGGAACTGCAGCTCTGAGGAAACGACTAGGGTTTCTAGAACGCGCCATACGGAGCCTAAGCACTGAATTTCATCGGGAAGCTCCTCTTCTTCTAGGTAAAACATGCGGAAGGTTGACACGTAAGCGTCGGGGTCTGCCACGTGGCCGCTGGCCTGGATCGTGAAGGTGGTCCCCGCGGCGTCGTGCGAGATCGTCGCGCCCTGGATCGGGTCGCGCACGGCGCGCTTCGCGAGCGCGTTGAAGAAATAATCGCTCTGCTCGCGGAGCACGGAGGTGTGGAGATTAAGTACTGCGTGCAGCTCCCCTTTACGATTTAAGATCTCGATATGGATGTCGCTAGTCGGCTCGTCGTTAAATATCGGGGTAGCGGAGGCGGAGGAGGAGGACGAGAGTGTCGTGGGGAGCGCGGGGGCTAAGCCTCCCGCTCCGCCTCCGCCTCCGCCCGCTCCGCCTGCGGCCGCCGGGTTGCGGAACGGCGGCAGGCTCCGCGAGTGCGCGAGGAACTTCGCCGCCGCATCGGGCGGCTTCGACGGCGACCTCGGCGGCTGCGATTGGCCGTAGAAGTTCTTGAACATGGCGGCTCGCTGGACGCGACTCGGAGAAGGCCAGGAGGCGCGATTAATCGAATAACGAGTTTATCAACGTGAGTAACAGTTTAGCGAGGAAAGGCTGTAGGGTGTACTGGTTTCAGGGAGATATACCAGCGGCGAGACAACAGCGGCTTTAGTGTATGATACGGGTAGGTGGTTGGCACCTCAATGAGGCACTGTTTGAGTCAAGCCAAATTTAGGGTTGCGGTTGTGACACTGCCATTGGCGAAAAAGGGAAACTAAGTCAGGTCATACACTTGCGAAAGGACTATGCAGCTGCGATCTGCGACAAAGGCGACATATGTACGACTCCAGCGAGCTAGGAAGGGAAGCCGTAGGGAGGGAACTACATGAAGGCAGCCGCAGGCAGAAGAAACAGAAATGCTGCTTTTGTATGTACGGACAAGGAGAAACAAATGAGGTGGGTGGAAGGGAAGAAGTACGGCAGTTTATACTGAACTCCCATGGTCTCACTGCCTGGTCCGCCATGGCTGAGTGACGTAACGTGACGACCAGGGTTGGTGTGCGCCTGAGTTTGGGCGACTGAGCGACGACCAGGCCTGTCGCTTGCAGGGCGTTTGCCCTGCTGGACCTTGAATTCCAGGGCTGGGTTGCCCTTGAAAACTGAAATTGATGGGTTGAGAAAATTTTGGCCCTGATTCATCACAGGGCTGATTTCGGGCTTAGGTCTGGAGTGTTAAGGGTAGATTTTAGGCGAGCCCTGGAAAGAAGTCTTTCGAACTTCCCCTCCCACTCCCCACCCCCCCTCCCCCCCCAAACTCCTCCATTCCCCCTCCCCCCGTTTCTATTTTGATTGCATTCAAGCCTGTCAAATTTGGAGTTGCGTGGCTGGACCACATATTCAACTCAACCAACAACTGGTACTTGTACCAATTACAACCTCGCTCCCATCCCATGACACACAGACAGTAGCATGAACCGACATGCAGCAGCAAAACACATCTCAGATCCCCGTCATGTTGTGCACCCTCAGGCCTGAATGGGCATAGCAAGCAGCAAAACACATCTCAGATCTTTGCTAAGAGTTGGAAGAGGAGGATGTCTGTTACGCGTGCGTAGTGAATGACGCTAACTAGTTTTTTTATTGCTAACTAGCTAATTTAATACTTGCGGAGTGCAGCTGTCAGCTTTGTGGTAGAACTGAGGCTGCAGAATTTTCCGCGGCAAACCTGATTTACAGGGAGGAATAAATTTCAGCCCTGAAGCCTAAAGGGCCGAGATTCGCCCCGACCCTGCTAAATACAGGGTCGTACATGCCGGGCCCCCTGATTTGTCCGGGGGGGCCAAAACGAAATGACAGCCCTGGCGACGACCTTTGCAGTCTGGCGATGCCTGGCGAATACGTTAGGCAACGGCGATTTCACGTGCTTTGACCAAATGATAAGTGGTTATGGCAGTTTCTGGTGAGCGAAGAAAGAAGAATGGCAACTGAATCGGTGCCCTTCTTGTTGCGGTATGAGGTGTTTTGTACAGTCCGTAATTACCTTATTCAATAATAAGCAAAACATTACTTGCAGTCTGGCGATGCCTGGCGAATTACGTTAGGCAATGGCGATTTCACGTGCTTTGACCAAATGATAAGTGGTTATGGCAGTTTCTGGTGAGCGAAGAAAGAAGAATGGCAACTGAATCGGTGCCCTTCTTGTTGCGGTATGAGGTGTTTTGTACAGTCCGTAATTACCTTATTCAATAATAAGCAAAACATTACTTCAAAAATAACTTGAAGGGGCCTCTAATGGGTGACCTTTGAAGGTCACAAGCTACTTGCGAAAGGGCTGGACAGCTAGCACAGAGCGCACTGAGTGCTTGCCATCACTCCAAACAAGACTGCCAAAAACAAATTTGATAGACTGTGTTACCACTTTGAATGTGACATTGTATGTCATCTTGGCTCCTGGTTGAATTGTGAAGGACGATGGAGACACCGTTACAGTCACTCCCTTAGGCTGGGAAACCTTTGCTGTGTATGTGCTTGCAGTTTTAGCAACATTTGTTACAGTCCGTGTTACCACCGTGGATCCTCGCAGGTTGCTCACAGCAATGTTTGGCAGGTTCAAATCATACCTGAAAAAACAAAAAGAGAGAAACACATATAATATTAGTCAGAAGAACACCGGAGGGAGACAAACGCGGAGGAAAGAGAAAAAGGTGGTAACTCACGGGTGGGCAAGCGGCTTCCTTTTCTCCTTGGCCACCGCCCAATACGCTGACGTCTGCTTTACGTCCACTGCATCAACCGCTATAAGAAACTTCACATTCTCAAGCACTGTAGAGTCGTACACCAGCCCTGGGTCCAGGGCTTTAAACGTGTCCACATGCCCCGTGCCATAGTCAAAGGGGTCTGCTGCTCGTAGCTGCCCGGCCGAGTAAATCGGCTTGTTCTTGTTGTTTAAGGTGTACGCCGTGGTCATGAGCGCGGATTTGAGGGCAAAGGGCGACCAGTTGGGGTATTTCCCCTTGATAATTGCAGCGAGGCCGGAGATGTGCGGGCAGGACATGGAAGTCCCGCTGATCAAGAGATGAGACATGGAGGCAGCAGGGACGACGCCTGAAGCAATCCCGTAGGGCTCCTGGAAGGGCGACTGGGTCCACCCAGCCCACACCTCCAGCCCCGGTGCGGTGATGTCGGGCTTTAAGACGTCGTTGTACCCGAACGAGTACTTGCCGCCCTCCCGGGCGTCTAGCACGGGGTCGACGTTGGGTCCCGTGGAGGAGAAAGACGCGACGGTGGGCGCCGCCAGCTGCTTCACGTACGAGGCTGAGATTTTGGCCTTTACTCTGAGGTGTAACGGGAGTAGGGGAGTGGGGAGCAGCGCGTAGTGGGGGAAGAGGAGGGGGGAGGCAAGAGAGGGCGGCATGAGGCACGTGTTGGGCCCAAAGGAGGAGTACTTGCCGCCCCTTTTTTGGAGGCTTTTACCCTGTGGGTTAAGGGGAGGGAGGGAAGCAGGGCAGAGGGGAGTGAGCAGTGAGAGGAGGGCCATGGGTGGGTGGGATGAAGCAAAGTAAGGATGAGATGGAGGGGATGGAGGGGAAAGAGGAGCAAGGCAGAAGGGCACGGGTATGGCCGATGGGGGTCAGTTGGGCGTTGTGCTGGAAGAGTTATCATGCCGTGAGTATGATATGCTCATATGGTGCCTCAGAAACTTGTTGACTTTTGAGTCGACTCAAAAATGGGGGTCAGTTGGGTGTTGTGCTGGAAGGATTATCGTGCCGTGCCGTGAGTATGATATGCTCATATGGTGGCTCAGATACTTGTCGCTTCCCTCTGCCCCTTCCCTTTCCCTATCCCTTTCCCTTTCCCCTCCCCCTTTCCCACCCTTCCACATCAACCTCCTTGCCCCTCCCCCATCCACTCACGCACCCACCCACTCCCGCAACTCACCCTGTGGAATTTCCCAGAAGCTTCACGAGCCTCTTGCCAGTGTACCGGTCCAGGTGGCACGCAGGGATTGGATGAAGCACAGCCACTACACGATCCGCCTTAGCCGTGTTGTATATAATCACACCCGCAGCGCCCGCCTTCTTAACGGTGATGCTTATAGGGAGGAGGTCCTCGGAGCTCCACCCTCCGAATTGGGATATGCGTCGGCACACCACGATCTTGCCCGAGACCTTGGCTGGGTCGAGGGTGCCTGACGCACACACACCCGCCTAGGAGGGATGGAGGACGGGGGTGGAACGGGGAGGGAATGGAAGGATGGAGGAAGATGGGCGGAGGGGAGCGGAGGGAGGAGGTCATCGGAGCTGCACCCACCAAACTGGAATCTGCGCCGTCAGAATCACCTCCCCCTCGCCCGCCCCCACCCCTGCTAGCTACCATACTTGCTCACTCATTTACAACCTCTCAAACACCCTCACCCCCTCCCTTTTACTCACCATCCACGCGTTCCCTCCGGCCTTCACGCCGTTCTTCCCTAAAATCAGCTCCCCACCGCCCGTCCCCACCATCGATCGCCCAGAGAACTTGTCCCCGTTGACCGTCACATCAGTCATGTAGTTGCGGCCGTGGGAGCTGGCAGCAACGGTGATCATCCACGGGGACGGGTGCCCTATGCTGCGAAAGAAGGCGTCTCCGATGGTAGTGGGGCCGCTGTTGCCCGCTGAAACTGACGCCAGCACGCCTGCCTGTGAGGGGGGGGATCAGGGAGGGAGAGGAGAGGGGAAAGGAGTGTTGGTGAATAGGAGGGGGGTGGGTTTGGGCGGTTTTGAGGGGGGAGTGGGGGCAAGTGGAGAGGCAAGGAGGAAGGAGCGTGAGGAGCTGGCAGCAACGGTGATCATCCAGGGGGAGGGGTGTCCGATGCTACGAAAGAGCTGGCCTCTGATGGTAGTGGGACCGCTGTTGCCCGCTGACACTGACGCCAGCACCCCTGCCTGTCGGGGGTGGTGGATTGATGGTGGAGGAGGGGGAGAGGGGGGGATTTCGGGGTTAGGAGAGGGGGGAGTGGAGGTGAGGGGAGGTGAGTGGAGAGGCGAGGAGGAAGGAGTGTGAGGAGGTGGCAGCGACGGTGAGCATCCAGGAAGAAGGGTGCCTGCCTGATGTGGCAGGACAACGGGGCTGCTGCTGCTTGCTGCTGCTGCTTGATGCTGCTGCTGCTGCTGCTGCTGCTGCTTGCTGCTGCTGCTGCTGCTTGCTGCTGCTGCTGCTGCTGCTGCTGCTTGCTGCGGATTCCGACACTCAACCCACTCACCCTGGCGGCATTGAGGTAGATCATCTCATCATCGTCAAAGAAGAGAGGAGCCTGGCGGCCCACGGACAGGCTGATCACGTCCACTCCATCCGCCACGGCTGTATCAACAGCCTTGAGAATGTCTGACCCGTCACAGTTGTCCCTCCCGCTCTCCACCGTCGCCCAGAAGACCTGCCGGGGGAGGAGAGCAGATAGGTGAGAACAGAGGAGGGTGAGTGACAGCTGGGAACGCCAAGGGGCGGGTGATGCCATCACATACCATGCCATGCTATTGCCTTGCACAAGTCGTCAAGTACATGTCATGCCACGCCATGCCATGCCATGCCATACACTGCCCACAAGCCCACCTTGTACATAGCTGCGCGTGCACGTGGCGCCATGCCACACCACGCCACGCACCTGCCATGCTTACGCCAGGTACAGGGCATCAAGTACATGCCATGCCATGCCATGCCATGGCACGCCACGCCATACAGCAACCTCTGGCCCACCTTATACATAGCCACGCGTGCACGTGGCGCCATGCCGCTGGCTGTTCCAAACGAGAAGCCATTCAGCTTCACTTCCACGCCGCTGTTGCCGCCCGCCGTGCTGCAGGAAGAATGGGGCGGTGGTGGAAGGTAATGAGGGAGAATGGGGCGGTGGTGGAAGGTAATGAGGGAGAATGGGGCGGTGGTGGAAGGTAATGAGGGAGAATGGGGCGGTGGTGGAAGGTAATGAGGGAGAATGGGGCGGTGGTGGAAGGTAATGAGGGAGAATGGGTGGTGAGGGTGGTTTGAAATGGGGGAAAGTAGAGGAATATGGAGTGATAAAGCACGTTCCCCACCTGCTAACGTCCTGTGGGCCCCCCACTGCTCATCGCACCTGCTGCTGTTGCAAGCTTGTTGGTTCCAAGCAAAGCCATGCCCCGCCACATCCCTGGGCGACTTGTAATCAATGGTCCAGTCCATGGTGTATCCCGACGCCTTGAGCCCCTGGAAGAACCCTCTCGCCCCCCCTCCCCTCCCTCTCCCCCTGCTGCTGTGTGCCCCGTTCCCTACCTGGTGGTAAGTGTTCCATGCCCCGCCATGCCCCGCCACATCCCTGGGCGACTTGTAATCAACCGTCCAGTCCATGGTATACCCCGACGCCTAGAGCCCCTGCAAGAACCCCCTCGCACCTATCAGCTAAAGCTTCGCCCCACCCCCCTGCTGCTACTGCTAGCATGCTGCGATGGTCCTTACCTCGTGGTATGAGTCCAGTGTCCCGCCACATCCCTCGCCGACTTATAGTCAAGCGTCCAGTCCATGGTATACCCCGACGCCTAGAGCCCCTGGAAGAGGGACCGTACCGTGTGCCCCCATGCTTGCACCTGCGCTGACTTACACCCGTACCTCGTGGTATAAGTGCCATGCCCCGCCATTTCCCGTGCCGACTTGTAATCAAGCGTTCAGTCCACGGTATACCCCGTCGCCTCGAGCCCTTGCAAGAACCCCCTGCGCGCCGATCCGCTCAAGGCCCACGCTTCACCTCTAGCCAAAGCCACACCCCCCTGCAGCTGTGTGCCCCATGCCTTACCTGGTAGTATGAGTGCCATGCCCCGCCACGTCTCGTGCGGACTTGTAATCAAGCGTCCATTCCATGGTGTACCCAGACGCCTTGAGCCCCTGGAAGAACCCGCGCGCGTCGATAAGCATGCAGGCTGCAGGCTGCAGGCTGCAGGCGAGCTAAAGCCCCACCCATTGCTCATGTGTGTCCCGTTCCCTACCTGGTTGTATGTGTCCCGTGGCCGGCAACATCCCTGGCCGACTTGTAGTCTAACGTTCAGTCCATGGTGTAACCCGATGCTTTGAGCCCCTGGAAGAACCCCCTGCGTGCCGATCCGCTCAAGGCCCACGCTGCACCTCTAGCCAAAGCCACAACCCCCTGCTGCTGTGTGCCCCATGCCGTACCTGGTGGTATGAGTGCCATGCCCCGCCACGTCTCGTGCGGACTTGTAGTCGATGGTCCAGTCCATGGTGTAACCCGACGCCTTGAGCCCCTGGAAGAACCCGCGCGCGCCTATCAGCTTGCGGTTGCAGCTGGGGAAGTCCGCTGACGTCATGCACGACCCCTTCCACTGGGCTGGCACCGGGCCATAGAGCGGGGTGACCTGGGTCGGGGGAGGGGATGGTGGGGAAGGGGGGTAAGGGAGGGAAAGGGTGATTTGAGGGGCGGGTGAGACGAAAAGAGGGTGAGACGAAGAGAGGTTGAGGTGAGAAGAGGGGAGGTTGAGGTGAGAGCACCACAGGCCGCATTCTTGAGAATTCTCAAAAACCTTCCCCGTTCCCTTGGCTATATTCTCATCATCACTGAATGCAGGGTTCTCCCGCCAGACCCCGTGTCAATCACAATCACGTCCTCGCCCTGCTGCCCCGCGCCCTTCTGCCCCTCCCACTGCTGCCCCTCCCCCTGCTGCCCCTCCCCCTGCTGCCCCTCCCCCTGCTGCCCTCGCCCTTCTGCCCCTCCCCCTGCTGCCCCTCGCCCTTCTGCCCCTCCCCCTGCTGCCTCTCACCCTTCCCCTCGTTGTACTCACATCATCACTGAACGCAGGGTTCTCCCGCCAGATGCCCGTGTCGATCACGCCGATAATCACATTCTCGCCTTGCTGCCCCGCGCCCTTCTGCCCGTTCTGGAGCGTCTCGTTGCTCCACACGCGCTTGCGCAGGTTCAGGAACGTGGGCGTGAATGTCGTGTGCAGCTCGTACTTAGGCGCCTCTCTCACCGACCCCACTTCTGGTCGTCTCTTAAGTGCCGCCACTTGTTGCGGAGTGAGCGTTGCTGCTACGCCGTTCATAGCATACGTGTAGCTGCGGCCAAGGAAGGGCGATGGACGGGTGATGAAAGGGGAAGACCAAAAGGCTGAAAAGACCGATTAACTATCTGCATATCCAGTTGTGTAAAGTTATTTCAACCTCACCCTCCAGCCGAACCTGTACCCCTCCGCACCCTGCCACGATCAGCCGAACCTGTCTATATCTACGAGCACACTCTTATAATCAACCTTACCTCTAATTGAGTAAGCCCTGTTACAAAAAGCTCTGCTACAGTCAGCCTCACCTGTAAACGTGCGCGCTGCTATCGACCCCCGCTTCCGCCAGCACCGCGCTGTGCATGCGCACCAGGTGCGCCGCGTACGCGCGCACGTGCGGCTGCGACGCGTCGAACGCGCGGCGCAGCCCGCCGGCATCCGCCGACCCCGCGGAAGCCGCGGAGGCGATTAGCCCTTCGTCCGAGTCGTCCATCGGCGCAGCGGTTGCGGGGAAGCCGAGGATTCCGCCGGTGTACGTGGCCGCGGGGGGCATGGCGTGGAAGCGGACGATGTAGACTGCGGGGAGGGGAGGGAGGGGGAATGAGCAGAAATACATTCTTAGTGATTCTTGTCGAGTTCAGCGTCAGACAGAACAACTGGAAAGAACGACAAGGCTACGGGTCTACGCGAAAATACAAAGGAAACGCGACGTGCTCACTACGCGCACAGTAAGCGCAGAGTCTGCCGCATAAGAACACCGTAGAAAGAAACTTACCAGTTTTTAGCGGCTCTCCCTTGACCGTGGTTGTCGCTCGTTGGCTCTCGCTTGCACGTGGCCGCAATCTGTCAAACGGCCTCAACGCGTCGGTCGAGGAGGATAGCACCAGCAGTGACACGAATACGAGCGTCGACATTGACGATAACTCTCGGAAGCTTCGCGCCATGGCTACACAATGAGATATGACTCTTCTTGATCGTTCTGGCAACAAGTAATTGCCGTTTTATCAACACTCCACAATATTCTTTTTGTTGATGGGGAGAGGCGGATCAAGAAATCGAGTAAATTATCCTCCCGCTTCCCCGATGTGCAGAGGGTAGTGAGAGAAATGCGGCCGGATGATGATAAATACAATGGTGGTGGAAAATCTTCCTTGCCACCATGCCAGAGCTTTCTTCTTGAATGTCGATAACGTCGACTATAATGATGGATGGAGTGCTTGCTGGCGCCAGTTAAGGTGTAATCTCCGTTTTAAACGAAGGGAGTTGAAGGCTACTAACTTTCTTTTCAAACTACTTTTACAATGCCAGGCGAATGAAAGCGCAAACTTGACTTGGAAATGCTCGTAAGAATAATCAGAGCACTGACTTCAAGATGTCAAGGCAAGGACCATTTCCATGTGAGCTCTGTGAAAGAGATGCGAATTCAGTATGTGTGCTACTGCAGGAGCGAGAGAGGAGGGGTGAGGGGAGAGAGGTAAGACAGTAAAGTCGGCTGCGTGGCGCATGTGACTTACTTGGCAGGGTGCGCGGGGAAAACTCGGGGGAAAGACGGCTGCGCAACCGCCTTACCTTGCCGAGTGCGCGGTCAACACTCCGGACCGCGTGGGGGGAGAGGGGAAGATCGGGGCTGGCCTTGCTGAGCTGGTCACCCTGGGAATTGCCATTTGCGGCGAAAAAGCGCTTCTGTAGAAATGCTGTGCTGACGAAAGGGGCGTACAGATTCCTGTGATTGGTCAGCGACGCGCCTCATGCACCTAGTGGAAGGCGAATACAGCTGCGCTTGTTCCGCGGGCCGTCTTGGCTCTTGCACTACAGGTGGTTCGGGGGCTCGGCGGAAAAGTGAAGGGGTGGGGGAGTTGCAGGGCAGGGAGAATTCGGTGGTTGGGTTAGGAGGAGGTGGTTCGGTCTTTGGTGGTGCGGGAAGTCGATGACGCGGGGATTTGCAGCGTGTTTGCATCGCAGCGCAACTTTGCGATTGTTGGGCCTGAAAAATCTGCCGAGTCGGATCCCAGTTGGGCTGAAAGATTTGTACAGCTAATGCCCGTTAGAGCTCCTCCCGGTTGCCTTGTGAAGGGGGTCTGTAAGCTAAACCTGCATTTCGCGTGAGGTTCGTTCGTTTCGTCAGGCGTCTAGCGTGCTTCAAAACTGCACATGGTAACCACCCAATTTGTCTGACTCGCAACTGTAAGGGTTCGCAGCTCTTGTCCTTGTTGTGTGTTCAGGGTTAATAAGCGGAACCAACATTAATGAACCAAGCATCTACATCTATTGTTCCCCTTAGTACAAAACATGCAAAACACAACCATCATCCAATCAACATCCCCCACCTGGCCCCTCACGTTCATTCAACACACAAAGCGAAACACGCACAAATGTGCACAAGGTGTGAACACTTGTGCCCAGCAAAATGCCTTCGACACCTGAGTGAAACTGCTCCACCACCCCTCACAGACGCATCCACTCAGCCGCGTCCACATAGCTGCCCATCACGGCGCCCACACCGGCGTCGAGCAGCTGCTGACGGCGGGACGGCTGGGTCATCCAGCCAGGAAGCACACGGCCGCGCAGACGAGGGGTCTCGGGCGTGGGAGTTGCGTCGGGGGTGGGGACGGGCTGAGGGGCCACGTTGAGGTTGAATGACGGGCTCGCCCGCTCCATCCGCGCGATAATGATAGGGTTGCGGATATCAAATAGATGGCAGAGATCGCGCGGCGTGATGCGGGTTGCCCGAGCATATCCGATGAGCATCTCGCATGCCGCCCGGGCAATGCGCCGGGCTTCGCGGCCAACGGGGTCGGCGTCGTCGTAGACGGCCTGCATGGTCGTCGGCGCCTCCCAGAGCTCCACCACCAGGCCCGCCTCCGGCTCCGTGGTGGGCTCTCCCGCAGCGCGATCGGCGCACGTTGGCTCGCCATCGTCGACGGCGACGTACTCGGCGGCCGTCATTGCTCCGTTCCCGAGGCCGAGCCCGCTGATGAGCGTGCCGACATCGTCGATGTCGGCGTCGAGCTCAATGTCGGGATATAAGGCAGGGCGGGGTTCGTCGTCGTGAACGTGTGGCAGCTCCAAGGACCACGAGAGCGGAAGACACCCCGTGCGCCACCAGCACCGCTGGATGGTACGGGCACCGACGGATGTCCACGCGTCCGACAACCACCCCAGGACTTCGCGCAGGTTCGGGCGATACTGCGCGACGGCGCTTGTCACACCGTCGGCGTTCCATAATGCCGAAAAGGCTTGCAACCAGTGCTAGCGGTAGCTGGCCTTGGCGGTGGGGATGATGCCCTGGTCGAGCGGCTGTGTGAATGCGGTGGTGTTGGGCGGCAGGAATACAAGCCGCACGTTGCTCATGCACGTAGTCCGCATGCCGCAGACGATCTCGCTCCATGCGTGCTGGCTCCTAAGCATGTGGCTGCTAGCGTTGTCGAGCAACACTACAATCTTGCGGCCTTCGGCGTACATCGCAGCATTGAGCTGCGATATGAAATGAGTAAATAACTGGGGGCGGGCAAGGGAGGTGAAGGCGTCGTGCAGAGGAAACATAGTTAGCACGTGCATATTCCGCGACATTCACGCACTCGAAGTGTGAAAATATGCCAGCAACCCCATACAGAGTACAAACTTACCTGCGACGTCATCCATCCTTTCGCGTTATGCCGCTAGTAGCATAGGGCTTCGGGGTCATAGTCCGGGCGGAAGTCGTGGGGCCGCTTCGCCTGATCACAAGCGGGCGGAAAACGTGGCTTCCGTCCGCATTCACGAGGAATGCGACGGTCAGGCGGTCCTTGGAAACTTTGCGACCTGGTATGCGGCCGTTGCTGTACGTGCGCCTAGGGAGCACGGAGAGCCATAGTGCGGTCTCGTCCAGGTTGAATGTGTCCCGCGGGGTGACGCCGAGATGAGTGAGGAGTTGCGGAAGCTTCTCCCGGGCGCCGCGCACGGCGGCCATGTCCGCGCTAGCCGCCTCGCCTTGTGCTGCACGGCACCGCACCCCCTGGCGCCGCAAAGCACGGCGCACCCAGCCGATGGAGCAGCGGAATGTGGGCGGAATGCCCATGTTCCGCGCGATGGCCGCGACATGGTCGCGGATGGTCTGCAGGGTAAGCGGCACGCCGGCGGGCCCCGCGTTTGCAATCCACCGCGACATGGCCTGCTCCAGCTCAGGCCATGCGCCACCTCGCCGGCGCACTTGGTTGTCGCCGGTTGCCGTGACAGCCCGTCGTTCCGCGCTCTTCAAAATGCGCCCGACAGTGGAGCGATCCGGGCGCAAGCCGTAATGAGAGTAACACCACCTCGCCAGGTCAACATGACGCAGGCGGGGGTTTTCGACGTGGTGCGCGCAAATAGCGCGCTTGATATGGAGTGGGAGCTGTTCTCGCAGATTAAAACGGACCATTTTGAGAGGCTGGGGAGTGTGAGAATGGTGAGTTACTGGATCCATTGTGCTGATTTTAACTTCAGATGGCGGGCGTGCAAGGGCAATGCTGGGGACTGTTCTTTGTGGCGCGTCCCATACATGTGGATGGTGCTCGTTCCATGCACCGGGCTTGCATATTTGATCGTGTGGTTTGGTAACCACAATATCAAATGCCTGACGTGGGGTTGGCGAACAACGCCTGGCTGATAATGGGCCAGTACCCCAAAGGTGCAGAGTACACGTGGCACCGTCAATTTGCCAAAATGTCTGTTACATGCACGATGAACCCTGCTTAGGTGTCGGGGCATTTTGGCGAATGCCTGGACGAAACCACGGTCGTTTCGTCCATTCATTTCGCCTGCCTGACTTCTGGCCCAGAAACAAGGCAAACCTTGGTCGGCCTGCCTTGTTCTGGTCTGCACGTGCCTTGGTGGCCGAGGCGCGTGTACTGTATCGAGCCATCCAGGTGCTTGTACTGTGGGAGCAGCAAGCAGGGGTTTCGAGTTCGGGGGCAGCGTTTCCATCCGGTGCATGGCAAATTCGCGTGCACTGGTCGGGCATCATGTGTACAGCCCACGCTCTTGGATCTACGTTTGTACATGTACAGTGCACAAGTGCGAGTCATCTCATCTCTTCGTTGCAATTGCGCTTGAAAGGATTGACTTGAGAGGCAAATGTGCTGCGTGACCCACACAACATATAAAGTAATATAGATATAAAAAAGTGGGAGATGGATAGCAACCAAAGAGAACCTCTTGATAGTCCCACTGGTGAAAAAATGTGTGGGATGATCCGTAGGATAAAAGGACGTAAATATTATTATGTCTGACTACCTTCTTTCCACTCATCCACAACACTCTCGATTCTCCATTGTTGTTACCATTTGTCGCCACACACACTCCCCGCTCACTCACACAATTGACTCTCAACACGTCTAACAACACTCTCAACACCCACTGCCACCACTAACTCCACCCACATTCCTCTTATCCGACCCTAAGCATGCACACTCCACTCCCACTCTCCCCATGTCACCCTCCTCGATTGTTCTTACCATTCACTCTTTCCAATAACTGTCGCCACTAACTTTCACTGCTCACTATTACCGCTCACTCTCACAGCTCACTATCACCGACGCACACTCTCACAACTCACTCAAACCTGCTCACTATCACGCAGCTCACGTTTAGAGTCATTTTAAAACCTAACTCTCACCACCAACTGCCCATCTCACCACCCATTCGCCACAAAACAAATTACTCAACAGTCAATGCCACCACTAACTCTCGCCTCAACCCCTCACTACTCACTATCCCGTTCACTCTTGCAACTCCTTTTCACCAGACACTCTCAGCACTCATTCTGACCCACTGTCCCCACTCAATCTCACCAATCCCTTTCACCACCCACAATCATCTTTCACTCTCCTCACTCACTCTCAGCATCTGCTGTTCCCACTAACTCTCACCAATGACTGTCCCCGCTCACTATCCCCACTCACTATCCCCACTCACTATCCCCACTCACTGCCCCCGCTCACTGTCCCCACTCACTGTCCAACACATTTGCAAACTCTGTTTCACAACAGCCTCACCATTACTCCCTCCAATCACTCTCACTAACCAATGACGCTCACCACTACCAACCACACCCTCCCACCATCTTTCCCTTCTCACTACCCGGCACATCCTGCACTCGCCATGCAACAGGTGGCACCAGTGCCCTAGGGCTCATCCCATGCCACCCAATGAGCATCATGCTCTCACGCAACACCCCTGACGTAGCCAGAGCTGACGCGAACCAGAGCCGCCGGCCGGTCGGCTCTGACGGTGTCCATTAGGCCTTAAACGCCAGATCGGTTACTTGAGCACCGAGTGCCGTGCCGCGCAGATCCCACCCACCACACCCCGACCCACAACGCACAACCCCTGAGGAAGCTGCCCCTAAGGCAGTGAGCTGGCCACTTGCTCCCATGCTCCCCTCCCACCCACCCCACAATTCACCCTCATGCCTCCTTACCTATCCTTACCTCCACCTACCAGAGCCATGCAGAGCGCCATGATGCCTCAGGCTGCTGGGAAGGGAGGGAGGCAGGGACCAAGGGAGAGCAGTGAGCAAGGGGAGAACGACAAGGCAGAAGCGCGAAGGCAGGACAGGAGAAATAAAAGAAAGTAAGCATTGCAAGAAGAGCAAGCAGCAGCGTGAGTGAAGGAAAGAACAGACATGCAAGCGAGGGGAAAAGAGGCTCACCTTGTTTCAGACAACCCAGCCCGATACTCTCCCTTCCCATCCCAGCCGAGTGGAATGCTGCCCCCCTCCCCTGACCCCACATGACCTGGCAGTGGGGGAAAAAGGTGTGAAGGGACAGGAGAGGAGGGGCAGGTCAGTTGGCATCAACTGAAACAGTCAGGTAATCAGAAGACACTAGAGTGGACAAAAACGGCAATGCCGAAATGAAGTGAGGGAAATGAGGCATCTGTAGCAGGGAAGGGAAAAGAGGCTCACCTTGGTTCAGACGACCCAGCCCGATACGCTTCCTTCCACCCCAGCCAATTGGAGTGCTGCCCCAAGCTTTGGCTGAACCAGAGGCTTGCGTTTGGAGCGAGAAGAAACAGGAGATGCAGCAAGGAACACAAGAGAGAGTGGGAGTAGAGAGGCAGGGCAGGAACTTAGCTGCGGGTGGGTTGCGGCTGCTGCCTGTGCACTCCATGTCCTTGCCACTGCCACTTCTGTATGAGTGAGGGGAAGGAGGGGGGGAAGGGGAGGGAGGCAGGGAGCAAGGGACAGCCGTGAGCATGGTGGGGAGAAGAGGAAGCAACGGCGTAAGAGAAAGAAAGAACAGACATTCAAGCATCTGAGGCAGGGAGGGAAAAGAGGCTCACCTTGATTCAGACGACCCAGCCCGATACTCTCCCATCCCATCCCAGCCGAGTGGAGTGCTGCCCCCCTCCCCTCCCACCACAGCCACCTGCACGGCCACAGGGGAGAGACGTGAGGGAGTGGCGGTGTTGACCCCCACGCCCCTCCCCTCCACCTGCAATGGCCCACAGAGAAATAGTGAGTGACTGGAGGAGAGGCGAGGGGGTGAAGGAGGAGATGCACGATCAGAAGAAGCAGAGGGGAAGGGGCCACTGGTGCAACCTCAGTTACAAGCCACAGACCCAAGGGGGAAATATATCTAGGAAGGTTTAACCTGAGAGTATACCTGCTGTACCAGGGGGGATCTACCTTAGAAAAAACGGGTCTGTGGCTTGAAGCTTTGGCTGAACAGAGGCTTGCATTTGAAGAGAGAAGAAACAGGAGATGCAGCAAAGAACACAAGAGAGAACAGGAGTAGAGAGGCAGGGCAGGAACTTAGCTGCGGGTGGGTTGCGGCTGCTGCCTGTGCACTCCATGTCCCCCGCCACTGCCACTTCTGTATGAGTGACCTGCAGGGAGGCAGGGAGCAACGGAGCAAGGGAGTAGGGGCAGGGAGGCAGGGAGCAAGGGACAGCAGTGAGCATGGTAGGGAGAAGAGCAAGCAACGGCGTAAGAGAAAGAAAAAACAGACACCAGAGAATCTGAGGCAGGGAGGATATAAGAGGCTCACCTTGGTTCAGACGACCCAGCCCGACACTCTCCCATCCCATCCCAGCCGAGTGGAGTGCCGCTTCCCTCCCCTCCTACCACAGCCACCTGCACGGCCACTGGGGAGGGGTGTGAGGGAGCGGCGGTGTTGACCCCCACGCCCCTCCCCTCCACCTGCAAGGAGAGAACTGATGAGACGTGAGTAAGCAGCTAGAAGTACCAATGCGAAGGTAGTGCATGGGTGGGGTGGGGTGGCAGGTGACAGCAGAAAAGGGGGCCGCTGGTGCAGCTTCAGCTACAAGCCAGAGACTCAAACGGAGGCTTAACTTGAGAGCATACCTGTACCTGGGGTGGTTTACCGAAAAAGAGGAGTCTGTGGCTTGAAGTTGTAGCACAACCAGAGGCTCAGGTTTGAAGGAAGGTTCAGAAATTTTGCATGTGACAAAGGGAAGCACATGAAAAGCAACAGAGTGCGACAGGTTGGGAGAAGAGAGGAAGGGCGGGGTACTTAGCTGCGGGTGGGTTGGGTGGAGAGCAGCTGCTGCCTGTGCACTCCATGTCCCCCGCCACTGCCACTCCCGTGCGAGCGACCTGCTGGGACCAGAATGGGGCAGATCGGGACAGAGAGGAGGGAGGAGGGGGGGAGGAAAACGGGGGAGTGAAGGGGGACAGAGGAGTGGAGAGAGCAGTGAGGAAAGTAGCAAAGAGTGAAGTGAGAGCGAAGAGTGCAGCAAGTGCAAGAATAATCCGTGCATGAATGGACTGCTGCAGTGGCACACCCAAGCGACCTCGTTCGGGCTGAACCAAACTAAAACGAATACCTGAGGCCTTACCAAGAAAAAAGATACCTACTACCTTGGGGGAGGGAGGTCTAATGGGTGTGACAAAGAGCAGTGAAAAAAGGAGTGTCATGCAAGGTGCAAGCATGGCAAGCAAAGTAACACAGTGCGAGGATTTGGAAAAGAGAGGAAGGGCGGGGTACTTAGCTGCGGGTGGGTTGGGTGGAGAGCAGCTGCTGCCTGTGCACTCCATGTCCCCCGCCACTGCCACTCCCGTGCGAGCGACCTGCTGAGAAGAGAGGGGGCAGATTAGGACTGAGAAGGGAGGGGGAAAAAATGCGGATGTGAAGGCTGGGCAGAGTATTGCAGAGGGCAATGAGAAAGTATGCAAAAAAGAGTGGAGCAAGGAGCGAGACAAGAAGAGGGCACGGGGAGAGAAGACCAAGCAGCAGCATGACTGATGTAGAGGAGGGGATATGAGGCTCACCTTGTTTCAAACAACCCAGTCCCGATACTCTCGCTTCCCGCCCCAGCCGAGTAATGTGCTGCCCCTTTCCCCTCCCCTCCACTGCCACCTGCACGGCAACAGGGGAGGGGTGTGAGGGAGTGGCGGTGTTGACCCCCACGCCCCTCCCCTCAACCAGCAAGGAGGAAACTGAAGATCGGTGAGTAAGCGGCTAGTGGTAGGATGGGTGGGGTGGGATGGCAGGTGAGAGCAGAGAAGGGGGCCACTGATGCAGCCTCAGCTACAAGCCACAGACCCAAGGGGGGAACAAACCTGGGAAGCTTACCTGCAGACCTGAGAGTATACCTGTAATACCTGGGGGGATTTACCCTAGAGAAGGGGTCCGTGGCTTGGAGCTTTGACTCAACCAGAGGCTTGCATTTGAATGCACAAGTGACAGAGATGCAGCGAGGACTGAACGGAATGAAATTGGAAAGCAACTGGGATCGCGGTACTTAGCTGTGGGTGGGTTGGGTGGAGAGCAGCTGCTGCCTGTGCACTCCATGCCCCAACCATTGCCACTCCCGTGTGAGCGACCAGCTGGGACGAGAGGGGGCGGATCAGGACTGAGAAAAGGGAGGAGGGCAACGAGGAAAGAGACCAGAACAAGTGACTTAAGTGAGAATGAAGAGTGGAGAAGGAAACGCTAGGATGATGCGAACATGAATGGACTGCTGCAGTGGCGCACTCAAGATACCTCGTACCAGCTGAACCAAGGACGTACCAAAGTTTTGAACCTGCTACCTTGGGGGAGGGATGTTTCTTGAGTGTGACTGAGGCCAGGAAGGACGGGAGTTTGATGTATGGTGCTAGCAGGGCGGCGGTTTTGTGCTGTTGCTGCTGCAGCGAGCAGGGCGAGAGTGCGGAGTGCATGCGAGGAAAAGGAGAAAGCGAGGCGAGCAAAGGGCGGAGGGGCACTCATCTGCGAAGCAGGACAGTCCGTTGGCGTTGGCGTTGACTGCAGGACAGTCCGCACCCAGCAGCACCCAGCAGTACCCACAGCAGCCGCGCTGGCGTTGACGGGACGAAGCATCGCGTCCACAGCAGCAGCGTACACGTTGACTGGAGCAGCAGCAGCTGGAGAGGGGAGGGGGGGAGGGGTGGGGGGAGGGCATGGGTGAGGGGAAGGGGCGGAGAGGCAGCGGTAAGCAGGAGGAGGGCAGCAGAGGCGCACACATGCATGGGAGAAGAGAGTGCCAACGACAGCAACGCCTGCCGCACCACACCCAGGGGAGTACCTCAGCCTGAACCTTACCAGGGCCGAACCTGTAAAACGAGAATAGGTTTTGCACCTGCAATGCGAGGTTACCTTACCTGCTGGCCGAACCTGATACCTGAGCGTGGGGGGTAGCCCTTGCATGTGGTGGTGAGCAGGCGTGCAGCGAGAGGCGGTCGTGGCAGCGTGGGGTCGGGCGCATGCATGCAAACGACAAGGCGGTCAATGGTGAGAGGGTCCTTATCTCTGTTACAACACAACCCTGGAGATTTAATGCTGACAGCTCTTGCCACGCTGCACGCGAGATGACTCCAGGCCAGGATAGCGGAAACGCCTTGAGCGGGAACGCGTCACGTTGAGCAGGAACCAGTGCGTGATTCGAGGGGTGAACCTGCGAGACAAGGCACATACGAAACATAAAATTATGTTAATTTGTGTCAAAAATGGTCTGAGTAATCGGAAACGCGACTCTCGAGGCGGATCAGAGGAAATTGAGACGGCAGATCAGGGAGCAAACCCATGAGAGAAACAGAAGGAATATGGAGCTTGAAGGCTTGACTTTGAAACGTACCAAAGAGGCAGACACGGCGAAATCGTTCATTCTGAAAGCGAAATCGTTGATTCGGACGGCAAGATTTTTCTGCTGACGGCGAAATTGTTGCGTAGTTTCAATCCCGTCAGAATTGCCTCTTCCTGCGACGAATGTCTCCTTGCTGAAGGCGAAATCGTTGCTTCTGACGACGGCTGACGGCTGACGGCTTAAAGGGTTACTGACGGATAAAACCGCTGCTAATGGCTGGCCGGACAAAGTCGCTTAGCTGACGGCCAAAAACTTGAAGACCGAGGAAATCGCCAATAATGACCGAAACTGCTGCTCATCACCGAAGTTACTGCTACGCAAAATTCCTTGCGGACGAAACCGGTGCTGAATGGTCAAGGCAAATTAATGCTGACTGTCGGCTTGCCGTTAATCCGCGACGCTGAAATTGACAGTGATTTATTATTCAGCTAATCGGCGATGTAGTAACGTTCATGCGGGAAACGAACAACGTAAAACGTTCATGTCGAAACGTTTTAAACAGGCGAATGACTGGGAATAGCGCATCAAATTGTCTTTACTGAACGAAAAATGTGAGGGGAAACTTGGAGTGGCTCAGAACTTGTGAGACTGATTGGAGAGCAGTCTAGGAGGAGGTGCAGAGCAGCCTGGGAAAGAAAGGCTGAGTGGCTGGAATTCGAAAATGGCTGCTGCACTTTCCTGGCTGGAATGCCCTTCGGTGATTCTGGTTGGGATTGAGAGAAGTCAGAGCGGCTCAGAAAGTTAGGAAAATGCGTCTATAATGGTGTTGGGAATGGTGTGTCGGTTTGATGAACTACAGGTTTCATTCTCTCAAGCAGATGATTCAGCATACCCCAGAGCCATGCCAGCCAATCCCAAGGCTGGTTTCAGCGGCGGCAGCGGGAATGGTGGCTTGCCGCTTGCGGCCCAAAACATGGCGCAGCGTGACTTATGGCGCAAATGGGTGGTGGCTTCGCAGAGTGGGGAAGCGATTCCGCGGTTCTCGAAATCGGTTGCGATCTACTTGACTCTTCGTCGTGGGGCCAACCCCAGCAGTAGTAAGGGCAACATTTCTCGGCGAGAGTCGTGAGCGTCGCCATTCTCGTCGAAAATAACCGTTGGTTTCGAAACACGCAGGGTGGCGGAAGCGCTCCCCCAAAAAATACTGACACTCGCCAGTGCAGCGCAATCGCTCAGAGGTTTGTGTAACCAGCCTGGAGGTTCGGGATTCTAACCAACGGCTAGGATGCGAAAAGCGCAATCTCGGGAATTTTTGGAAGGTGGCCACATGATGGTTTCGAGATTCCCAAACCACCGCTCAGCATCCAACGGACGAAACAGGTTCGCGCTGAGGTGAACAGATTCCTACTGCTTGCCCAGAGACTTCAAATGCACAGTTCTGTTATTCAAACACCATTTCCATAAGAAAGATGTCTCCGAAATACACAGCTAGGAAAACCGAAAATGTGGAAATTGAAGTGTACTGTGACAGGATCATCTCACTACATTCTGATTGTTAGACAACCAGACATGCAATTGTTAGTCTCCACTATTGACCCTACAGCTCATATACCTAGTAGTTCACTATGGCATGGTGCTTCGTCGTCGTATGTTGGCTGCATATCGACAGCTTTGAGCCAGATCGACTATCTCTTCGGATTCTGTTCTAGCTTCCATCGCAGCCACAGCAACTCGAACCTCCTCGTTAAATCGACTGATTACCGAGGCCACTTGAGTCCGAAGCTCATGAAGGTCCGCCGAACCTGAAGACAGTGCTACTGTGTTCTCAAGGTTGTCGTTGGTGTGAAGCACAGAGGAGCTCCGGGTGCTGGCGCTGCTAGCTCTTGCCGTGCGAGTAGCAGCAAGCTTCCTGTGAAATGGAGGAGGAAGGGAACACGCAGAGGCAGATGCTCAGTGTAAGTGTGTGCAACTTGGTAGCTGAGTCAATCTTGCCAGTTTCCCAGATGGCTGAAGCCAGACCTCACACCTCGCAAAGGCACTGCACTCACCTGGCAAAGACGCTGTCTGTGTGCTTCTGCAGGCGGGCAGCGAGGTGGGAGAGCTCGAGCACGAGGCGGCAGATGCGGCGCACACTGCCCAGGAGGACTGCGGAGAGCTGCACTCACCTGGCGAACAGGCTATCGGTGTGCTTCTGAAGGCGGGCCGCGAGGTGAGAGACTTCGAGCACGAGGCGGCAGGTGCGGCGCACACTGCTCAGGATGGCGGCGGAGGGGCGGTCCAGGAAGAGCGCCTTCAGTAGCGCCTGCTGGTAGCGCTCGTGGCAGGCAATCAGCTCGTCCAGATTCGTTGCACCCTGGAGAGAGAGATACAGCATGTAGAATAACAATTAAAGACACAAGCAAACAGAGTCGCGGAGGGGCGGTCCAGGAAGAGCGCCCTTAGTAAGGCTTGCTGGTAGCACTCGTGGCAGGCAATCAGCTCGTACAGATTCGTTGCACTTTGGAGGAGAGGGGGGGGGAGAGACATGCAGGGAAGGGTAGGAGGAAAGAAAAAGGAGCTCGTATGTGTGATCAGGTGTGCCACTTTGAAGGACAGGTGGGGGATGCAGAATCATAAGGAAACAGAGACGCCAACCTCCGATAAGCATGGGTTAGCATGCCTCACCTTGGCCCCTTCCACCATCTCCTTCCAGCTTGTTTCGATCCTGAGAGCAGCAAACGTCTCGATCACACGCATGAACTGCGACATGCGTGCGAACACGCCCCGCACGCCCCTCACCGGCCCCACCAGTAGCTTCTCCTCCTCCCTCTCCTTCCACGCCTGCAACCCCCCTGTCACTCTCGCCCCCCCTTCACCACCACCACCATCACCTTCCAGACTTCCCCCACCAGCACCAGCAGCAGCAGCACCAGCAGTACCAGCACCAGCAGTACCAGCACCAGCAGCAGCAGCACCAGCAGTACCAGCACCAGCAGTACCAGCACCAGCAGCAGCAAAGCCGTGTCCAATTCCTCCCGGGTCTGGTTTTCTTGCTTTGCTGCCCGCTCCAGCTGCCCGGGAACCCAAACCTCCAGCGAACCTGCCCGAAACCGTAGCAGTAATGGACTCCCTGACAACGGGCGGCAGAAGCCTGGAGGCTCGGGGCTTGAGGGCCAGCCAGGTGGAGGAGAGGGCACGACGGGTGCGCTGCAGGAGGAAGAGTGCGGTGAAGAGGCGTGCGTAGTGGTGCTGTGCGGTTGTGGTGATGACTGCGGTGAGAGGCGGTAGAATGCGGTACTCCAAGGTGAACACGTCCCAGCCAGATATGCCAGGGGTGCTGAGAGTAAGGGGGAAAGGAGGGTGGTTGGGGTGGTAATGGAGAGAAGGAGAGCAGGGAGAGGAGAGAAGGAGAGCAGGGAGAGGAGAGAAGGAGAGCAGGGAGAGGAGAGAAGGAGAGCAGGGAGAGGAGAGAAGGAGAGCAGGGAGAGGAGAGGAGGAGAGCAGGGAGAGGAGAGGAGGAGAGCAGGGAGAGGAGAGGAGGAGAGCAGGGAGAGGAGAGATTGAGAGCAGGGAGAGGAGAGAAGGAGAGCAGGGAGAGGAGAGAAGGAGAGCAGGGAGAGGAGAGAAGGAGAGCAGGGAGAGGAGAGAAGGAGAGCAGGGAGAGGAGAGAAGGAGAGCAGGGAGAGGAGAGAAGGAGAGAAGGGAGAGGAGAGAAGGAGAGCAGGGAGAGGAGAGAAGGAGAGCAGGGAGAGGAGAGAAGGAGAGCAGGGAGAGGAGAGAAGGAGAGCAGGGAGAGGAGAGAAGGAGAGCAGGGAGAGGAGAGAAGGAGAGCAGGGAGAGGAGAGAAGGAGAGCAGGGAGAGGAGAGAAGGAGAGCAGGGAGAGGAGAGAAGGAGAGCAGGGAGAGGAGAGAAGGAGAGCAGGGAGAGGAGAGAAGGAGAGCAGGGAGAGCAGGGAGAGGAGAGAAGGAGAGCAGGGAGAGGAGAGAAGGAGAGCAGGGAGAGGAGAGAAGGAGAGCAGGGAGAGGAGAGAAGGAGAGCAGGGAGAGGAGAGAGGAGAGGAGAGAAGGAGAGCAGGGAGAGGAGAGAAGGAGAGCAGGGAGAGGAGAGAAGGAGAGCAGGGAGAGGAGAGAAGGAGAGCAGGGAGAGGAGAGAAGGAGAGCAGGGAGAGGAGAGAAGGAGAGCAGGGAGAGCAGGGAGAGGAGAGAAGGAGAGCAGGGAGAGGAGAGAAGGAGAGCAGGGAGAGGAGAGAAGGAGAGCAGGGAGAGGAGAGAAGGAGAGCAGGGAGAGGAGAGAAGGAGAGCAGGGAGAGGAGAGAAGGAGAGCAGGGAGAGGAGAGAAGGAGAGCAGGGAGAGGAGAGAAGGAGAGCAGGGAGAGGAGAGAAGGAGAGCAGGGAGAGGAGAGAAGGAGAGCAGGGAGAGGAGAGAAGGAGAGCAGGGAGAGGAGAGAAGGAGAGCAGGGAGAGGAGAGAAGGAGAGCAGGGAGAGGAGAGGAGAGCAGGGAGAGGAGAGAAGGAGAGCAGGGAGAGGAGAGAAGGAGAGCAGGGAGAGGAGAGAAGGAGAGCAGGGAGAGGAGAGAGAGCGGGAGGAGGGTTGAGAGAGAGAGAGCGGGAGGAGGGTTGGTGGGTGAATGCTGGGGGAGGAAGACAGTGAAAGGTGGTGGGGCCAACCGGTAAGCTGATAAACCATTGATCCCTTTCGGTGAGGACATGCACGTAAAGACTTTAAAAGGCTTGATTCGCTTACCTGTCGTTGACCAGCTTGACTTGCAGCGCATCAGCCAGGGCAGGTTCCTCCCCTGAGAATAACGATGCCAGCACAGCTCCATGGAGGGCACCTGGGAGGACATGGAAGGCATGGAAGGAGGGGATAAAGGATCGGGTAAGCGGTTTATTAAGTGGGGGTTGGAGGCTGACTTCTGAGGGTTGTGACAGAGTGTGACTAGTGAGAAAAGACAATAGGGGATGGAGTGAAGAGAAGCAGAGCTGAGTATAAGTGAATGACTGTGATGAAATGAGTGAATCATAAGGCAGGCACGTGGAAGCACCTGAGAGGGCGATGGTGCTGACTTTGTTGACTGGCTTCTTGAGCTCACTGGACGCCTCATCTAGCAACACCTGCCATGACAGAGGGAGAGCACAGGAGGGGCAGAAGCACCTGAGAGGGCGATAATGCTTCTTGAGCTCGCTAGACGCGTCATCTAGCAACACCTGCCATGGCAGCGAAAGACCACAAGAGAAGTCCTTAGGCGCCTTAAAAGTGGTGCTGGTGCTTGAGCTCACTGGACGCTTCATCTATTTGACTTTTGAGTCGACTCAAAAGTGGTGCTGGTGCTTGAGCTCACTTTTGAGTCGACTCAAAAGCTCACTGGACGCTTCATCTAACAACACCTGCCATGACGGCAAGAGCAGCACAAGAGGTTCCCTTGAGCAACACCAACAGCACACTAATGCTGCGTCCACCTGACTTGGGATGAATGTACGTCGATCCAAACAGGAAGCAGCATTGCCAACGAGCGTTTGGTACAGGTATGAGGTTCAGACTTTTGGGTCGGGCTTAGTGTTCCTGCAACTTCCCTCACGGACCCGGGCGAAGATGCTGCATGACCCAACAGCGAACAAGCCCACCACGTGCACCAGCCGCGTGGCTCATAACACCCAACGCACACAGAAGCCTTCATGAACCAAGAGCGAAACTGACCTGGGCAAAGTGGCCGTTGGTGAGGAGTATGAAGCGCTTGATGAGAGCGCAGTGGTGCAGCAGATTGAACTGCCCCACCACCACCTGCACCAACCGCGTCTCCACCTGCGCTGATACCCTCTCCACCAGCCTTGGCACGTCCCGGAGCTCCAGCGAGGCTCGGGCGCCCCGAACCTCCCGCTCCACCTGCTTGGCTGCTTCGGGCCCGAGCCTGTCGCCGCAGCAGTGGGCGAGGAAGCGAATGGACTTGCCAACGCGGAGTATGGTTTGTGCTAGGGAGAGAGGGATGAGACGCACAGGGACCATTGCCTCGTCCATCCTGTGGTGAGGCAATCAGGGGATGTGGAGCAGAGGTGCAGGGTAGGGAGAGATACAGTGAATGGACTTGCCAACGCGGAGTATGGTTTGTGCTAGGTCGAGCGGGATGAGACGCACAGGGACCATTGCCTCGTCCATCCTGGGATGAGGGGTTCAAAGGATGTGAAGAAGGGGTGGGGAGGAGGGAGAGAGGAAGCAAATGACTTGCCAACGAGGAAGATGTCATATGCTAGATCGAGAGAGATGCGACATTCAAGGACCAGTGCCTCTTCCTTTCCATGGCAGAAAGATGTAGGGAAGGAATCAAAAGAGGAAGAAGGGAAAGAGACGAGAGGAGGTGAAGGGAAGAGCGGAAAAAAAGAGCCCGATGTAAAGCTCGCGTCTCATATTTCTACCATCCAACCAAGTGTTAAACGGTTGGAATTTGGTAGCAGCAAAGTTTGTCGCAAAGCACACCAAAGCAAGGGGTGGTTTGGGAAAGTTGGCTGTCGCACACTTCCCGTGCACACCAAGCGTTCACAACTTCCAAAAATATGAGACTCTGAACTCAACGTTCACAGAAGGGGGAACTCGTTTTCCAACCAAACCAACCCACCCTGGTTTGTTTTGGCCTCGACTGTTTTGGTAGTTCGCTGTGCTTTTTTTCACCCACTCATCAAATATTTCGTTTTCGTTACCCAATCACAGTCGGGCAAACCCAACCAAGCGTTAAACGGTTGGAGATCTGAGACGCGAGCTTTAACCACACCCACGCTCTCTGCTCCGCGGCCTTTTTTCCCCACGCCCCCTTTCCCCTGAGTCCCTCACTCAAAAGAAAGACTTAAAGATCCGATCCCCACACTCACCAAAATCCCTCCTGCCAGAGGACGTCCTTGCTGGTCGCCACCGCACTGCACCGCACAAAAAACTCCTCGTTGCGGGCATCCACGTTCCCCAGCACGGCCCACTCCGCCACGCCCTGCACCAGCGGCCGCACCGCCTCCCCCAGCGCCGCCCCCAGCTGCTCGCGCTCGCCGCCCTGCGCTGCTCTCTTCCTCGCCTCCAGAGCGTCCAAGAAGGGACCGCCGCGCAAAGATCTGGAGGACACGGGGAGGGGGGTTGGGGTGTGCAGAGGGGATGCATAGAGAGATCGCGACATTCCACTCCGCCACGCCCTGCACCAGCGGCCGCACTCCCTCCCCCATCGCTGCGCTCAACTGCTCGCGCTCATTGCCCTGCGCTGCTCTCTTCCTCGCCTCCACAGCATCCAAGAAGGGACCGCCGCGTAGCAATTTGGGGGGATGAAGGGTTGAGGTGTGCGGAAAGAGTGCAGAGAGGGTCTTGACAATCCACTCCGCCACGCCCTGCACCAGCGGCCGCACCGCATTCCCCAGCGCCGGCCCCAGCGCCAACGCGACTAAGTAGGGGCCGCATGCAAAGATCTGAGGGACATGGGGGGTTTGGGGTTGTGGGGTGAGGGTGGGAAGAGGGCGTAGAGGTCGCTCTTGACATCCGCTTTCTAGTACCTCACAGCACCTCACAGCACCTCACAGCACCTCACAGCACCTCACAGCACCTCACAGCAACTTTCAAGCACTCTAACAGCACATAATATTTTGTCTAACGTAACAACGACATTCATGCGTGCACCCACACACCCGTCGCTGCTGCCATGCACCCGTACATACACGCACACACCCGTGCCTGCACTCACGCACCTGTACCTACACGCATACACCCGTGCCTGCACACACCTGCAGTCGTCAATGAAGCTGACAAGGCACTCCAAGTGCAAAAAGGGTTCATAACATCCACCTCCCAGCACCTCCCAGCACCTCCCAGCACCCCCCAGCACCCGAGCGTGCAACCATACGCCCGTACATGCACCCACACACCCACCCACCTGCAGTCATCAACGAAGCAGACGAGGCACTCCAAGCGCAAGAACCACGGCGACAGGAACGCCAGCAGGTGCCTCAGCCGCAGATACTCCCCTCCCCGCTCCTGCATCCCCCCCACAGCGGGTCCTCCCTCTCTTAGCCTCGGTGCTGCTCCCCCTGACCCATCCCTCCCCACCGTGCCTTCTTCTGAATCCCCCATCCGCAATGCCACACTCCCGCTCTCCGCAGCCTTTCTCTCCTCCTCCCCCTGCCGCTCCTGCCGCCACCGCTGCTGCTCCTGCCCTTCCCTGCGGTCCGATCCCCCTGCTGCGGGGAGCGGGGGGCTGGCGGAATGCGGAGCTGGCGGAAGGGCGGCGAGCGCGGGGGAGTGGCGGTGGACGTCGAGACACGCCAGCACGTCGCGGAACTGGCTTAGCGCCGTGCTGAGGGCCACGCAGAACGCCTGGCGCGAACAAGGGTGTGTGGGGTTGGGTCGAGAGTAGGGAGCGTGAGAGGCGGGGAAAGAAGTAAGGGGAGAGGGTGAGTGGACGGAAATCACAATTGCATCCAATTCCTCCGCACTCCTTTCCCCCCCTTTGAACCCCGTCCCTTTTCTTCCAGCTCCTCTCCACTTCACTCCCCACCATCCTCACCCGTCAACTCGTCCGTTCACCCACCATCTGATTCTTGCTCTTCAGCCCCTCCGCTGCTCCCTCCTCGTTCCCCACGCCCCTCTCCGCGAGCCTCCCCCTTCCCTCCTGCACCAACGTCCGGTGCCCTCGTCCCGTTCCTTCTTCCTTCACAGTTACTCTCTCCGCCCGTTCCGCTCTCTCTTCTTTCACTGTCACTCGTTCCGCTCGTCCCGCTCCGTGCTGCAGCCCCCCGCCAGCAGCGCTGCTAATTCTGCCCGAGTTGGATGTCGCCACTGCCTGAATGTAGGCTTGGATTTGCCGAACCATCACTCCGAGCCTGCTTAGTTGCATAGATTCAGCCCTGGGAGTAGCGCAGAGGAAAATGGGCGGACATAGGGGTCCGCGAGCAAGCTGAAGGACAAGGAGAGTGGGAGCAGGAGAGCAGCTGATGGAAATGGAGCTGAAAGACAAGGAGATTGAGCGATGAAGGACCTGAGTGAAGAGACAGGGAACGACGGCGAGGAAGTCGAGGCTCAACGTGAATCGTGCTACCAGAACGTCCTAGTAGGATACTGAACTAATTCCTGTACCAGGATCCTCTCTTGATTGCTGATGTTTCTCTCCCTGAAGCTGCCAGGAACCTGAATACTCACATGCGTATCTGCTGTATTCTCGTGCCCGGCACAAATCGCACGGATCGCGAGTCATCGTCAAATTTGAGGTAACGACCGTCGATTCCTTCGCACAGGATGAGAACGTCGCGAACGAGATCGGATTCCTGCACCACCTCGTCGCCGTGCGGCGCTGCGACGTCGTTATCTCCCGAAGATCGTTCGGTATCGGTTGTCGCATGTTTCCCTCGCGAATCCTGACGATCTCCGGCGACGCGTGCGACAGCCGCGTCAGTCGCAGGCGACCAATCTAACGGTTCTTGCTTCACATTGCCACTGTTACCAGATCCTAAAACGTAACTCCCTATTCCCGGCCTAGTACTACTCTGGGGGGTAGACGAACCTAATGCGCCTAACCTATGAGGCGTATTGCTTGAGGATGCACCAGGACCGGGATTCGAGGGCGTATGGCGAAATCCAGAAACGAGATCGAAGTCTACTTGGGAATCTGCGAAATTCCCGCCGCGTCCAGGCGTCACATTCTTCGGCAAACCATCCATGTTTCTAAGAACCTATATAGAAACGACGAAGTTAACGTGGTTACAGTCAGAACGTAAAACAATAAAGCTCAGATTCGAAAGTTAGAAATTAGACGACGGATCAGGAATCCGTGAAGGAGGAGTAAGACTGTTCCGTTCCGTTCTCACTGAGTGAGACCATGGATCCTGCTCCGTTCCGTCACTCCGTCATATTGTATCTGAAAAGGAATCGCCGCTTCGAAGTCATACAGAATGCACAACCCTCGTGCCTAGAGTCGGCGACATGCTGACCACGACGACCGCCTATGCTCTCGTGCCTGCACGGATTCCTGCACGCATTTCCCTTATGACTTATGAATCCCCTAAGCATTACCCCTGCACAGCTTTTCGTCGAAGATTTGGCTCTTGTTGGTCTGCCAACGCCTCGAGATCAGCGTGGCGTTTCCCGCGCATGGCTCATGACTCCTGGGGAAAATTGCCTGACAATGTCGAGGAAATTTTATCACTGGTCAGACGAATTGTTGGAATTATGTAAGGAATTTTCTCGGCATTCCTTACGGAGCCAACTACATCGCGTACAGCAAACAGCCGATTGTTCGCCCGTTACTGCTAACGGAACTTCGCCGACTTCGCGCGCACTGTTTTGCCAAACCTCGCACTGCTGGCATGGCCGTATCGGCCTACGCTTCGGGACTAGCCCGAGCCTCGCTCCAGCGTAGCACTAGCAAGCTCGCACGCACCGCGTTACCGTTTTGCATGTTTCGCGTATAAATGTTCACTCATGCCTTCGCTCACATTTTGTACTCGTTTGACACCTTAGTGCAATTCTCGCTACCTCGATTCATTGCACCCGTAACAAATTACCGGAACATACAAAGCTATACCTTAGACTACGTTTTATTCTAATGAGAATAATTTCGTGTTACCGTATCTTATGCTGACAGCACAGCGGGTCAGTAATAGCAAGGGGTCAAGCTAAAGAAAAGAAGAAAATATAATGATCAAGCAGGAGGGAAAAGACACACTATAATGTGCGAGTATTTTTCTTCCAGGCAGCGAGTTTTGGGTCTTCCTTCTGCTTCTGTCTGAAGAATCCCAGCAGCCCTCCAAGCTTCTTGGGCCCTCCATGCGATTCCTCAACAATATCGTGCAGATTCAGATAATCCATCACACCCTGCAGCACAGGAGATGGGGGATAGAGGGGGGGAAATAAAGGTCACACAAGACAATATTCAGACTAGGGCACGGATGAAAAACAGAGGAAGGTGACCCCGAAAACGCTCCCAGAAAAGGCACCAGAAACTTCAAAAACTCGCATCCGAATCCCTTTCAACTCAGCCCGCACCCCTCACCTGCAGGCCTGAATTTGCCACATCCATAGGCGGGTGCTGCCATGGGTTCCCCTGCAGCGACAGCTTCTTCAGACTCGTCAGGTTCACAAACGAGATAGGCAGAATCTTAATGTAGTTCTCGCTGATATCCAGCTTCACCAGGCTCCTCAGGTTCCCAAGAGTTTCCGGAAGCTCCTTCAGGTGGTAGTGGTTCGCGCTGATGTTGAGCGACGTCAGCCTCTCCAGCCGCCCGATGCTCTCGGGAATGGACTGCAGCGAGTTGTAATGCACGTCCAGATCCGTCAGCTTCTCCAGATTCCCAATCCGCCGCGGCACATAAGTCAGCTGGTTCAGCGGCGCAGACAGCAGCTTCAGCTCCGACAGCTTGCAGATCGCCTCCGGAAGCCCAGTAAGGGAGTTGAACCCAAGTCTGAGCTCCTCTAGAGCCTCGCAGTGGCCGATGGACGTGGGGAGCTCCTCCAGGTAGTTGTGGTGCAGATCCAGCACTCGGAGTTTCGCTAGATGCCCGATGGACTCGGGCACCTCGACAAGTTTGTTGCAGGAAGCGTCGAGCACCGAGAGGCAGAAGAGATTTCCAATGGCCTGGGGGAGAACCACCAGGCCGTTGTTCGCCAGGCGAAGCTCCACGATCCAGTCTAAAAGCCCCACGGATTCGGGGAGGTACGCGAGCGGGGATTTGAAGTGGTGGCCCTGCAAGTCGAGCTCCTGGCGCCGGTCCTGCGCTGCCTCCTCCAGCACAGTGAGCAGCTTGGGGTCGATTTCGAGCCCGGCTGTTGCCTCTTCAATGGGCTTCAGGGACGCTGCAGGGAGGACGGGGAGGTGCGCGGTTGAGCAGGGGAGGTTTAGGAGGTAAGGACTTGTGGCCCATGTAGGTCAGATAGAGTTCGATCAATCAGGGACGCGCGGGAAGGAGACGTGCGAATTGAGCAGAAAAAGGTGTAATTAGGAACGCGTGTGTTCATGTAGGACAGACGAAGCTTGTTAAATAGGGGACGTCCGGATTAAGCAGGAAGGGTGTAAGTAGGGACGTGTGTGTTCATGTATGTCAGGCAAAGATCGATTGGGTAAGGGACGTGCGAATTAGGAAGGGGACTGCGGACCAGGAAGGGGACTGCGGACCAGCAAGGGGACTGCGGACCAGGAAGGGGACTGCGGACCAGGAAGGAGACTGCGGACCAGGAAGGGGACTGCGGACCAGGAAGGGGACTGCGGACCAGGAAGGAGACTGCGGACCAGGAAGGGGACTGCGGACCAGGAAGGGGACTGCGGACCAGGAAGGAGACTGCGGACCAGGAAGGGGACTGCGGACCAGGAAGGAGACTGCGGACCAGGAAGGAGACTGCGGACCAGGAAGGGGACTGCGGACCAGGAAGGGGACTGCGGACCAGGAAGGAGACTGCGGACCAGGAAGGGGGCGTGCGGACCAGTGCGGATCAGGTACGGGAGATGTAGGCAAGACTGTGCGAGTCCAAGTAGTGGGTCCATGCATGTCATTTTCAATGTATGGATTCCATACACTAAAAATATAGACCATAACATATTTCCCCTGATAATGCACTTCACACACAAAAAAAAAAAATCTTCACGCTTTCACAAATCTTACGTGTTTCTGTGTCAAGCGTTTCCTGACGCTTCGTGCCCTTCTGCTTGCTGCTACTGATATCTCAATCGTTTGCTCCCACTCCTGATTTTAACCCGCCGCGCGTTATCGCATTTCGTCTCGTCCTTACCACCCGCAATCTTCCCGAACCAGCCGACTTACATTGTGGCATGCTCGCGACTTTTGACATGGCGGTAGAATGCGATCCCTTTCCGTCCTTCCCCTTCCCGCCAGCGTTCGTTCTGGTCTCCGCGGCACCGCCCACGTCCTTTCCGAACGACACGGCACGCGCGGACGGCCCCGGGGGAGGGGAGAGGCTCCTCACGGCCCTCCGCGCCGGGGGGCTTCCGACGGTCGCCGCCGCGGGGCTCTCTGTGACGGCAGCGGCGAGCGTGGAGTCGGGGCTGGCGGATGTGACACTAACGGGCTTCGCAGCAGCGGCTTCAGCGGCAGGGGTTGAAACGGCGGTTGCTGCTCCCGCGGCTGCTGCGCCAGCTGCTGCTGCGACGACCGCTGTGGCAGCGACTGCGGCCGCAGCTGCTGCTGTGGATGCATCCTCGCCATTTCCACCATCAGTTGCAGTAGAAACCGCTTCAGCAGCGTTCAACCCGCCCGTCTCCTCACCAACCGTTACGCCTGAGAAATTCTCGACTTCCGCAGGCTCGGCGCAAGGTTCGGCAACAACACGTTCGGTACCTGCCGAGGCTACGAGGCTGGGAAGTCGGCCGGTGAGCACCGCTTCTTCCGCGAGCATCACCATCTTATCGTAGTGCCGGTACTTAGCCTCCAGATCCAACGTTGCTTGCGGCTTACGCTTCTTCATACTCGCTGCAGTGCGCATCACATCCTGCTTAAGAGCCACCAGCTGCTTGAAAAGAAACGCGTCGGCTCCGTCTGGCCGCGTCTCCGACACAAGCGCTTCGATTTGCGATACAAGGTGCTTGTCGACTGCTACGATTTCCTTAGCCGCGTTTTCCACGTCTTGCAGGGTGGGTCTTTCCCCGAGGCTATCCCGCACGGCTCGCATGTCTTGGACTAGGGCCAGCAAATGCGAACATTGGGCTGCAGAGTCTGTGGTTGGAGTATCTGTGGTTGCTGACGTGGCATCCTGCTCAACTTCTCCCGCGGAAACAACTGGTTGAATGTTAACGTCATTGGCAGACATGGTGGGTAGGGGATTCAGAAAATCGTGAGTCGCGGAGAGGTGAAGCTGGTGGTTCGCTTCAGCGAAGCTAGCCCGACGGCTACTATGAGGAAATTATACTTCTCTTAATGTCAATGGTGCATATTCTTATTGAGATCGCGAAAGGGCCGCGTTCATTCAGCAACGAGCTTGAGAAACGAAGGCTAGGAGCTGGAGTCACCTGAAGCACAGTGTTTCAGGTGACACTGAAGAATGAAAACAACTCTAGGAATGAAAGACCGCCCTCGGTGTTGGATGAAGACCTCGGGCGAGGGTGAAAGGAGATGGTTCGATGCCCAAGAAAGATGCTGGTGAGGACGAGGGGCGAACTACAGTCTTCACTTTCCAAAGTGGTTACCACGCTCAACGAAAAAAGAGCTCCAAAGTTTTACTCCAATCAGTGCTTCGTAAAACACATGCGTGGCTAGTCCCCGTGGCTAGTGGCGTTTTTTGCGCAACGCTTCTGCCAAAGATGACTCACCTGGCCTCCAATCCCATTCCAGCTCGGACGTGTGGCGCGCACTGATTAGACGATAAGGGCCTGTGACGTGATGATGTGGCCAGTGACACCACCTACTCGAAACAGCTACACATACTCGGGTCTTAGCGGTCGATGCCAGGTCATGTCTCAGTCGCGGAGCATCCAAGCCTACTTTGTATATCCACCCTTTTGCTCGTTCCGGTGCAACCCAATATGACATCAAACTAGCCTTTCCATTGTACTGAATAATGCATGTCAATTGAAAGAGAAATGTAATAATAATAACCAACACGGGTCTTGATAACACTAATGATAAAAACATAAAACAAAAGCGCGAAAAAATCTTCATATATATCGTTTTCATAAGAGGCGCTAGGCTCAGTCACCAATTTCATGCGGATGATTACGCAAAAAACTCATGTGCAGATACATGAAACTCAGTAGACTCATTGTGTTACAAACCCAAGGGACTTAGCCTAGGATCAGCTCAGGGTTGATAGCATGTGATATTGCAACGAAAGAAGTGACCTAAAGTCAGAGTGAATAAAAATGACTCAAGCAATTATAGCAAGGGTTGTCAAACACATATATTTGTATGCTATATGACGTAGTGATGCATGCATAAAAAATAATATGTTTTTAGGGTTTGCATTTGTACCCACCACCTTTCCCAAAACCTTTCTGTTGCTAGCTACACTTAAAAAGAGCGTACATTGGTGTATATAGGAAACCAAAAGAACATAGAATTTCCTAACTAGCCAGTACGCTACATGATACATCCTTTTATTACAGCGATGTTCAACCATGCAGTGCGGAAAATTGGTTTCAAACATGTTCCCACCGATTCATTTATGTTACGAATAGAAATGAATGAAGGTTATGTGAGAATTGATGAATGATTGCATTGAGCAGCATGAGGGAGTACAAGTAGGAAACCCTAAAGTGTTGTACCCCATATGAGCTACCCCACTACAACCTACATAGACTATAGCATATAAGTTTGACACACCCCCATAGGCAAATTGGGGGAGAACAAGAGGTCACAAGACCAGTCAAGAGAAGCAAGGCAAGCTCAGGGTGGATCACAACGTCACCACACAAACTAAGCACAAGCACAAGGCCACAAGGCCAGTTCACATGCAGAGTTATATATCAAGATGAACAAACAAGGCAGTGATCTCAACCTAGCAAGAGTAAGCAAGCAAGTGCAGGTATATATAGATCACAGTACAAGCAAAGTCAAGAAGTGAGCAACTGAGGCCAAGTAGGCACAAGACCTAGCAAAGTACAAAAGCGCTGATGATCACAAGGCGGAAGTGCCTTGGTAAAGATATCAGCAGTGTTGGCCTCAGAGGCCACGTAAGCAAGGCGCGGCTGACCGCGCTGCTGAAGCTCATGAGAAATAAAGTAACGAAGAGCAATGTGCTTCGTTTTGTGCTCCAGTGTGTGCTCCTGACACAAGGCCAGCATGACCTTGTTGTCTACGTACAGAACTGGACGAGAACGAGGCGACTCTCCTATGTCAGTCAGCAGGTAGGTGAGCCAGCGTAGCTCCTGTGCAGCCATGGCCCCCGCGTAGATCTCAGCCTCATAGCTAGAGCCGAGAACGGAAGACGAGCGGGTAGACCACCACGAAACAGAGCCGGAGCCAAGGCTAAAGGTGTAACCCTGTGACGACCGCTGAGTAGCCTGGTCGTCAGCCCAAGAAGCGTCTGCGTAACCTATGAGGACCACTGGACGTCGCCCTCCAAGCACTAGCCCCATGCCAGACGTACTGCACAAGTAGCGCAACACCCTCTTTGCTGCAGCCATGTGCTCTGGTCGGTGTCTCCCAGGAGCAACATAGCGTGCCAAGATGCTAAGAGGGTATGCTAGGACAGGTCGTGTGCAGGTCATCAGGTACATGAGGCATCCAACAAGCTCTGGGTACGGGCCACTCGGCTCTACGGACTCATCCGAAGGCAGAGATGAGAGTGAGTGGCGAGTAGACAGAGGAGTGGCCTGAGGCGAGGAGTACGTGAAGTCGAAGCGCTGAAAGACCTGCTGCACCGTGTGTGACTGAGTCAGGGTAATGGTGCGCTGTGCTCTGTCCCGGGTGATCTGCAAGCCAAGGTAGCTGCGCAGTTCACCCAGGTCTGTGCACGTGTGTCTCTTCTGCAGCTCGGACTTCACGTGGGCGAGTCCAGCAGTGGCAAAGACCAAGTCGTCGACGTACATGAGGATGTAGAACGGCGGCAAGGAGGTGGCGGTGCGCAGAAACAGCGACGGGTCGCCAGTAGACGGAGCAAACCCAAGAGTCGCAAGTGTAGTCCTCAGTGTGTCTTGCCACTCACGGGCCGCCTGGCAGAGACCGTAGACTGGCTGCCTGAGGCTCCACTGGGTACCAGGAGGAAACGACCCAGTGAAGCTAGGTGGGCGGCGCAGCCAGATCTCCTCGTGCAGGCTGCCCTGCAGGAAAGCTGTGCTGAAGTCAAGAGAGTGAAGCTCGTAGTCGCGCTGAGCGGCTATGTGCAGCAGCACCCGAAGAGTGGTCATCTTCGGGGTGGGAGAGAAGGTCTGAAAGTAGTCAACTCCCTGCCGCTGACTGAACCCTCAAGCGACGTAACGCGCCTTGAAGACTGGCGGAGAACCCGGCGGCTGCTTCACCCTGAAAATCCACATGCCACTGACGATGTTCGCCCCAGGTGGGGGAACCTCGTTGACGTAGGTGCCTGTGGACTTCCAGGAAGCCATCTCTGCGTCCATGGCTGACTGCCACTTTGAGGAGTAGGGACCCTCGATCGCCACAGCGTACGATCGAGGAGTCGGGATATCTGGTGCATCCGGGTCTCCCTCAGGGGCAATCAGCGTGGACACGAGATAAGGCAAAGCAGCAGAAAAACACTAGGAACTCCTCCTGCCTGTCCTCAAGGACGTCCGTGCTAAGAGCACACTAACCCCCAACAGACAGAGGACAGACGGACGCAGACTCAGCAACAAGACTAGCAGCGTAGTCTAGACGACAGCGAGCAGCAAATTCGACAAGCTCAACAACTAAGGCAGACGCAGCAGTGGACTCAAAAGAAGGTTCAGTGACAACAGTAGCCAGGAGACGCGTGACAGTAGGATTGGCAGCATGAAGAGAGTCAGACTTAGGGTCAACAAGAGTAGGAAGAGAGGACTCTGGAGGAGACGGCAACGGGACACGCAGAGGAGCAGTGGAAGGACGCAGTGCCATCTGGTGTGTGCCAGGGACCGCAGGAGGACGCGGACGCGGAGCACAACCACTAGTGCGAGCAGCACGAACAAGCGACGCAGGACGAGACGCAGGCTCACGACGCTCAGCAAGACCGCCAGTAGGACCAGTGTAGGGAGAAGGAGCAGGCAGGGGGGAGGCAGGCTGTAACTGTGACCGCGACTGGACAGGCTGTGGAAACGCTAAGGGAGGAGCAGGACCAGTAGAGGGCGGGAGACCAAGAACCTGCTCAAGGAGCGGAACAAAGTACGGCCTCGGCCGTGAAGCGCCTCCAGAACCAGCAGGGACAACACCAGTACCCCCAGCGGCAGCACCAGCGCCAGCAGCATCTCCAACTCTAACAGCGCCAACTCCAGTACCCTCAGAAGCACCTGCGCCAGCAGAACCACCAGCGCCAACTCCAGCACCCTTAGAAGCACCAGCGCCAGCAGAACCACCAGCGCCAACTCTAGCACCCTCAGAAGCACCAGCGCTAGCAGAACCACCAGCGCCAACACCCCCAGCAGCTCCAGCTCCAGTAGCTCCAGTAGCACCTCCTGCATGACGCCCAGTCACAGCAGCTCCAGAACCGCCAGGACGAGCACCTACAGGCTCGGCAGCAACAGTAGTACCTCCACCTCCAGTAGCATGGCTCCAGCACCGTGCAAACCACTCGTGCTGCTCGTGCGGAGAGAGTAGCTCCCGCCTCGATGAAGCACCGCCAGAGGCCACACGAGTAGACCAAGCACCCCCAGGCTCCGCACCCCCAGGCTCAGCACCCCCAGGCTCAGTACCCCCAGACTCAGCACCCCAAGGCTCAGCACCCCATGACTCAGCACCCCCAGGCTCAGCACGCCGAGACTCAGCAACCCCAGGCTCCGCACCCCCAGACTCGGCACTAGCAGGCGCAGCGCCCCGAGCAGCACCAGAGTCAACAGCTACCTT